CTGGTGAGTCTCATCTTTCCATATTCCAATTCAATACAATTCAGAGCTGCCAGGTGGTTGTGGAGATATGGGGTTTGGGGCTATGTGTGTCCTGAGATTACAGGGCTAAAAAAAAATATTATCCTGGCGTCGGGCGCAATGTTATCCAGTCCAAACATGAGCCATCACTGCCGTTATTGATTCTTTGCAGTTTCCATTGGTTCTCCCAGATGGTAGCGATCTCTTCTGAGAGGCGATTGGCTAAAGATAACGCCAGCTTTTATCACACACCTGAGGCTGTAAAGGGCCCTGGCTCTGCCTCGCCTGTACATATGTCGAAGGTGAACAGCCCAATCGGTGGCCATTTAGAGAGAGCGATACGTCGATTGTGCAATGAGGTGCTGTTTGCAAAGTAACCGCATGTATATTTCGCGTAAAAAGTGTGAGAATTAATACAATGTGGCTAAGTTAATGTACAGAATGTTTCCACTAAAAGCCGCAAATGGAACATTTTACAAACGAAGCTTGACAATTCATTGTGCAATTGTGGATGTTTTAAAAAGTGTATTCGATTGCATTCTTATTTTAAACGGTGATAACAGATTTATGTATTTTCAAACTAGCTGTTAATTTTAATCTTCTAATTTTAATGGTCCTGCATACATTTAGATGTTGCGGGTTTTCTTCTTATATAATTTTATTGTGTACGGTTTAAAAATAACCTGGTTTTATTTGTATGTATGTTGAACTTAGTTGGCACTATATGTAGCCAACCGCATTAATCGGAGGTGCAGTGCGATATTAAAGGGGCGAATATAAGAAGAAAAGTATACCTTTAAAAATAATGAAGCTACCAAAAACATTTGAAAAAGAACATACTACGGAGAAGAACGCAAGTGGAGAGGTGGAGTGACTCATAGCCAAAGTCCAGCCAGTGTGCATGCACGGCATCATAAATCTATAGACCTGTCGTCATTGCAGTATCAGCTTGAAGCCATGGTAGATTTTTGTGGTTGTATTGGCGATTGCAAACTTTGTCATTTTTCTTTCCCCCACCCCAGGTTTTACTGCTGTGTACACAAATTGATAACCCTTCTGCAGGCAGCCTGGTATCTCGCATGCTACCTCCAGACCAGCCACATGGCGTTAATGATTAATGTCAGTGCTCCCCCAGTGGGCCTGTTTCTATCCCGTGCCTCCCCACCCTTCCTCTCTTCAGTTCACCTACAACATCCCTGCCCACTCTTGCTTGTTCTGACATCTATAGTCCAGACTAAAAACTCAGGAACAGAGAAAATGGTAGTGTCGGCAAAAACTGCTTATATAGTTTACAGGCAATAAAACATATTGCGATGGCACTGGTACACAGTTAAACGTTGTGACTAGTTTTCACATCCTCTTTACATCTCAATGGTGTAAGCTACATAAAGCCACTATTGGAATTAGAATAAGTGAATGTGTAAACTGGTGGATTTGCAGTCATCCCAGAGACCACTAGTCTAACCACTATTTTCATGTCTGTTTTGACAGTCTATATGATGTCTCTAAATGTATAGTTTTTCTATAATGTGTAAAAAATATACATTTTGTGTACATGTAGTGCCTATTTGTCAATCCACGTGTGGGTCCTGGTGGTTCATTGCCCATGCACTAGTCAGTGCTGGTTTGTGAAGGCGGGGAGCATACCGTTTATGCCATATACTCTGGGCCATAATTCTGGACAGTACAACAACATATTTTTCTGCACTGTCATCTATTGGCAACATAGCTCCGCTGCAGCCTCACACACCTGTCTGATGCATGGTGGTCGCCCATCTAAGCACTATTCAGGCTTAACTTTGCTTAGCTTTCGAGACTGACAAGATCAGGGACATTCCGGGTGATATGGTCCACTTGTGTAACTGTGGTGCGGAACATTTTTCATATGGTGGCATGCTCACGGCATACATATGTACCAACAAAATGTTTTCAAGTCACAAAGTTACCACTCTGCTTTTTCCACCCCTTCGCTTTCCCAGCTGGTCAAGACGATTGTGATTACCCCACGTGTGTATGCCACGCAGGTTGCACGGCGTGCCAGACACAGACAGTTCAGGGTCCTGGTGACCTGGCATTCACACTTGTCTCACCGTGCAAACAATACGCGCCCGGCTGAAACAAACAAATCTTTGACGCAATAAAAAAAAGTCGTCTTTCAAACATAACCTTCCCTGGGCTCTCTGGGCGAGATCCCCTTCGCGGTTCGTAAAAAGAATCCTCCAAAGTCGTAAATGAGCAGTAAAGACATCATGGAAGGCCACGGTGTTCTGGGACAGACAGCGAGACACACTTTGAATGATTTGCTCAAAAATCACTGACAAGTCGACTAACGAGTAGAATAAGTGCATGGTTATAGAAAGCAAATTCAGTCAAATATGACGTGTTTTACAATTCGTCAAATTCAATGCAAACCCGCAAACGGCGTGGGGAGGCCTTCATGCAGCAGTGGATTGGAACGGGCTGTAAATTCATATTAGTGATGAAATGGGCACATCTATAGTGTGTTTACTATGGGAAGGGAAATTATGTGGTTTAGTTAGGATATCTGTTATTGTGTCTGAGCCATTGTTTACTCCATTATCATTAGGTCTACACGTCTGTACTGTTTTGCCAAGTTCTAAGTAAATCCGTGATTTGTTCACTGCTTTGAAAAATATAACGAGGGCTGCTTTTTTCAGGTGGCTAACCATGTCGGCATTTCAGCTATCCACATTTGTTTGCTGTGGCATGTCCACTGAAACAGCAACGTCTTTTCGAGTAGGCGCTGACATAATTATATAACTAAAAAATGCAGGGTAATAGTGGCACAGTGGCTAGCGCAGTGTGCTATCAACACAGAAACCTGAGTTCGATTCTCAGTCAGCTCACGCCCAACATTGTGTGAATAGGCCTTCATCCAGCAGTGGATTGACAAAGGCCTGCAAATTATTCTTCTTTTTCTTCCAATGCCCATCACTGCTTACACAATAACATGAGTATAACTTAGTGATGGTGTGGCTGGGGAAAAAAAAAGCAAAGCACTAGACGCACACAATGTTTTAATATTCTATTTCAAAAGCCTTTTGATTGACCCTCTGTGTATACATGTGGCCGGCATCTTATCTCCAGCTACCGTGGCCACACACAAGTCAAGCACTCTGTTTAGAACATTAGAGCACTCCATACATTAATGGTTATTGCCATTGTAGCGGCGCAATTAGCAGACTTAACTGGCCATATATGTTGAAATGTTATCTTGTTCCCGGCAATAGGACGTGTAATGCACTTTATGGTCCCATCAAGTGCTCTCTGGCAGAGAGCTCATTTGATTGTTACAGCCATTCCCTTGCCTATTCAAGTGACTTCAGCTGAACTCTGCTGTGTTTGTGCAGTTTGCATACATTGTTGTTTTAACAGTTATCGATGCAATTTAAGTGTCTTCTTCATTACACCAGATTTAAATGCGCTGGTTGGGTTTTACACTCGCTTGAAAAAAGAAAAAGCGCTTGTGTTTTTTTATTGACCTTTGTATTTATACAGTATGCAATTGTGGGTGTGAATACTGTAATTTAAATGGTAGGGCGCTCACCGGTGACTATTAAGCAAACAACCAATTGCACAGCAGTTACAATTTAGGAGTGATTATGTTCTGTGTGGAAAGAGTTAAATATTCACCCGAAACAATATCCTGTTTTCAATGAAATGCTGCCATCTACTGTTCAGATGTATACCTAAAGTAATTTTACATTGTGAACCAATTTTCCTCTGGGTGTCGCCTAGAGGAAAAATGAAGTTTACACTTTGTATGTACTGTACATTGTTAGCTGCTTCACAATGTATGCTGATACAACTTTATAAAGGGAATATTAACTGACAATTTGGGATATATTGACAAATTGCAGTGTTAATCATACATAAAACAGTCAACATAGGACGTTCATTATTTATGACTGATGTATCAAATACGGCAAGATTATTTCAATATATTTTTTACTTCCATTGCATAGCACTTTAAAGGCTCTAAGATACATACAAGTCCCTTCAGGTGTATGCGTTTTCTTAAGATACTCCTCCTGAGTATTTCAATATTCATTACGTGTATCAGGCTAGGGAATCTAGGTGAGATCAGAATACATCCAAGTCACACATCGCTATTACCAGCCATTATCTATCCACTGCAATACCATGTCTCTGAATTGTTCCCAGTGAACACTGAACGTTATGCGAACGTTGTTCCGAGCATGCATCTCTCCGCGCTGCTTCGCACACTTGTCCAGTTTTTGTTCCACTTGATTTGTCAGTGACAACATTTCAGGTCTAGGCATTGATGACATGCGTTGTTTAACCGTGTTTATTTGCGCAGCTTTCAGTATTTGTTCCAAATTATTGTTAATAAACATTATTTCGGAGCCATGCTGTGAGCAAGGGAATACATTGGTGTAACTTTTGCAATTCGTATTTGTATTTACCTATAGTGACTTGCTTACCTTCTCTTTACTTTGCACTCCTATCGGTGTGTGCATTGGTTGTTGTTGTAACTTCTAGATTTGAAGCTCTCGTGATTGCAAGGATCCATACTCTTTGATTCTATTCGGTAAAGTCACCTAGGTAAAAAATAAAACAACAAAAATCAGCGCTGTCCTCGAGACAGTCTGGTCCCTTCACCTGATGAAGGTCACTTGTGTTGTGGCCGAAACGTCGTGATTTTTGTTGTTTTATTTTTTACCTACGTGACTTTACCGAATAGAACCAAAGAGTATGTTGTTGTAACTGTCTGACCCCGTGGGCCCCCTCCTGGACATCTGTGTGAAAGAGCTTCATAACTCATCGGATTGCTCCAGTATAAATCGAGATTCTAGTTCTAATATGCGCTGATAAAAAAAACACACGTTTATATTGTCGTTCCCAATTTCTAATTTGCCAGTGGTCTTGATAAATGTCACGGCCAGGTAATGTCACAAATATTTAAAACTTTTGAGTCCACGGGTTGAGTTCAAAGACTACCCAAGGACACGTGGTGTCGCAAAAGTCGACGGCGCCGATCGCCTTTACGGCACAAGGCCATGGCGTCGTACGGAGGGTTTTTCGAAAGCACGCAGAGCATCGACGAGCGGAGAGAGCAGAAGAGGGAGGCGAGGCGAGGGGTTCTCGCGCAGGTGAGGAAGCGGAAAGGGGGGCGGCCCAGTGTGGACGAGCCAACAGACAAGTGTGGGTTCGGGGTTCCAAATTAGTCGGTGCTTTGTAGCGGTCGAGCGGCCGACTGGTTTTGTAGGCCTCGAGCACCCCCTCGTCTCTTTCCTAATTTGGGTACCCGGTTCGCGAGAGGGGGGAGCGGGCAGAGAGCCGAGCGTGGGGCGGCTGTGGGAGGTGCGGTGAGCAGAGCTGTCAACCCATACGGTTTAGCCCCCGTGTTATTGTACAGGGAAGTCGAGTTTTCAGGTCCATACGTCGTACAACCGTTACAATACGGGCAAATAAAACATTTTGTTTTATTCAAAACCTTTTGTTTTATTTGCCCGTATTGTAACGGTCACCGTTTGTACCCCGATGTGCGTTCGGTTGATTTCATTTTGTAGAACGACTCTCAGTGAAAAGGCAGCGCTACTCGTTGGTGTTCACTCATACTGTGGTGATGTGGAATTGTTTCGCTCCTGGCCCAGGGATGTAAACAGTAGATGTGTGCTGCCAACCCTCGTCTTAGAGAGATTAACCTTGTGGTTTATTTAGGAATTAAGAATGTAAATGGAAGATATTTTTGAACATCCAGAAATTCGTTAAATGCACGTCGTGGCCAAGGTGTACAGCAGTTGTCAGTAGAACTTTTCCTAACCATAAGTTCAACCATTAACCACTATTTAGCATTGTTGGGATTTAAGAAGCACTACACTAATTTGTATAATCTGCCCACAACATCAATGGCCGGTGAACTTGTTATTTAAATACTGTATACATGTTTGTAATACATCAATTGCATACCAATTGTGTAATTAAAGTCAAGTAGTGAGGTGGATAACAAAACCTTGCATAGCTCTTGCAGGTAGGAAACATAAGAGTCCTGGAAGATGACTTGAAAGACCTACATAACTTTTTGAGTCGCTACAAACTGCTTGCAAGTTCTTGCTTCTGTCTTATTGCAAACATGTGTCATTGAACAGTGCTATAACACTGAGAACAGATATACTAAACATGCTTTGTACATATTGTGTTCATTGTAACATTTAAACCAGGTAAAAGCTGAGTACGAGCGAGATCAGAAACGTCAGGAGCAGAAGCGACTACGTGGGGAAGACACATGGATGCTTCCCGCCGTAAACGAGCGTCTCGAGGAAATGGAAAAGGTGTGTGACATTCTAAAGGGGCAACATAAATGTCCAAAAAGACACAATGAGTATCAATAACATAAAATGTATAACACAGACATTACACTCAAGACAGCGGCACCACATGTTTAGCGGTCAAAGGCAAGTAAGTTTTAAATTATAGGTTTGTTAATTATTTGTGTTAATTGCCACATCTTTAAGGCAGACTACTTGTTGGAGAAATACATTCCTGAATTGAGGAGCAAAACATAATAGGAATTTCTGCCTCCTTTCCACGTCATTATTACGTCACATTTCTTGTGAATATTTTTGGTGATAGTCACCAACTCAAAAGAGACAACATTGTTGTTTTTCTAACTTTTTAGCGACTTAACGATAGCTGGGCAACTTGTCTCCCTGTTGCATTGTTATTAAGAATTATTAGTAAGGCATAATGGCAGTCTTCTTCTTTGGTTCTTTCGGTAAAGTCACGTAGAATGAGAATAAAACAATAAATTGATAAAATAAAATTATATTCTCACGACGTTTCGGCCACAACACAAGCGGCCTTCATCAGGTGTGAGCATATTATTGTGTTATTTTATTTTATCAATTTATTATTTTATGCTCATTCTACGTGACTTTACCGAAAGAACCAAAGAAGATGAATCCTTGCAGTCACGAAAGCTTTAAATCGAAATATAATGGCAGTCCTTTACAAATGCCGCTTGAATTTTACCACAAACCTCTCATTCGGCACTGTAGGACAATTTATACAGCACGTGGTGTATGTGAGCTATGATACTTTTAAGACAGCCTAATTATTTTACTTTTTAGACAGCCTAAAGGAACGAAAGAGAAGGATGTCCACAAATCTGGCTGTCTGCCTGATGATGCTAGTTATAATCACTGGTGAAATGTCATACTCAGTTGCTAAATGTTGTGGATTTGCTCTCCAACACACCGGTGTGCTGTATAAGTAATGCATTGGCATGTTATGTTCACGTGACAAACCTTGCTAATTGGCTAGTGTCGGGTGGTGGCGGGTTTAACGACACATTTATTTGTATGCGATATAACTCAAAAAACCTATATTGTGGATATTTTAGTTAACTTTACTGTCATAATTTCTTCTTTACATGCACGTGAATAAGTAATAAACTATTATTATATTATTACTCTTCTTTGGTTATTTCGGTAAAGTCATGGGGATAGAAAACAAAATGAAAGTAAAGTTAATTAAAAATATCACGACGTTCCCATCGCAACACAAGCGGTTGTCACCTACGTGACTTTACTGAAAGGACCAAAGAATATGAATTCCTGCAGTCACGAAAGCTTTAAGTCAAAATTATTATTACTGCCTATGTAACCTTATTTTGTGTTCGTTTAACAGGAACATGGCAAGAAACACAAAAAGAAAAAAGAGAAGTCGAAGAAGTCTAAAAAAGAGAAGAAGAATAAAAAATCTAAGAAAGCTGAGAAGTCTAACAGTGCCAGTGACTCTACTTCTGTACGTAACCTTGTTTTACGAGATGACTCGCAATGAAAACACTGCTTGGAATAATAATAATTGATACTGAGTGCACACGTTGGTATCCGCGATGAACATATGAAACGGGTTTAATGACAGCCTTGCCATTTTTCTTCCAGGACTCAGAAGAGGAGTGGGTTGAAAGTACCGCTATTGCTGCTTCCGGAAGCAGCCAGTCATCGGACTCTGCCAGGGAAAGATCAGCTGATGCTGTTAACGCTTCAGTGGATGCCCCCTTAGTGGTACAGTGCTCATGTCCTCGCGTTGGTTGCCCTGTTTACCACCTTTATACATCTGAATTGCTCGCTTGGTGACGCGGTTCTCATGCATTTGTCATCATCAACATGCTTGATCTATCCACTGTCGGATGACAGCCTCTCCACGTAGGCATCCTTTTTCACAGTCTTGCAACGCCGTAATCAATCCCGCTCCTGCACTTGAACATTTTATATACGTGTGACAGGAGGTTAGTGGGTCTAGTTCTTCAAATCAGTTTTGCCTGCCTTCATGAATAGAAGAATGATGAACACTTTAATCGTGAATTGACGTGTATTTAATTCCTGTGGATACATCCAGAAATTAGGTCCACTAATGTTTTTTCAACAGCTCGTCCTGCTTCTTTAATGACGTTCAGTTATGTCATCTAGTCTGGGAGTTTGCCTTATTTCCATGCTGTGAAAGGCAATTTCAAGTGTGACATCTTAATATTCCACTTCCTTTGAAAAAAAAGATTAGTTTCCCATAGTATAATGTTTTGTTGATATAGAGATCTGCATAAAATGTATCTGCTAGTTTTGCAATTCTGTCCCTATCATGCTGTCTGAGAGCTGCTATTCGTTATCTACCCAGCATCACTCTTTTTGCTGCTTTCTTGCTTCCATTTGTGTGATTTTTGCAGTCACCGTTTTGATTTCCTATCCCTTTTCTCGTGATTTTACCAATGTTTGCTCGTTCTATCTTTTGTTTAACATTTTTCATCTCTATTCATATATCTCATTTTATTCATCTTGGTTTATCTGGTTTCGGATAGTTTTTTCTCTATTTAGATTTTACTTGCCCCCCCCCCCACTTTCACTGCACTATCCATTTTAATGCAAATTAATCCATTATTTATGGTGGTGACATTATTGCTTCTCTATAGATATGAAACTATAGCCAAGGATTGGCTCAAATTCTCCCACCCCAAATAGATGTTTGACGTTACCTGTGTGTTTTGTCTACTTCCACTTGAATATGTTGCAAAGGCAATTTGAATTACCTAATTTAAATCTTCATAGTATTTTATTAATGTGCCATTATGAGGACTAAAACGGGAAAGACAGGAAAATGCAACAAAAAAACTGAAATGTTTTTATTTCTGCATAAAATGTACTGTACTAATCATTGCATTGCCATCTGTTAGAGGGATGATTGGATGAACTTCGACTTCCTGACTATGAAGTCATATTCTAGAACAGACGTCAAATCAGAAAAACAGAAAGCCAAAGAATTGGATAAAGAAATCAGGGATGCGATCGACAAGGTATGTATTTATCGTCACGGCACAACTCCGGCGTGACTTTGGGTCAAGTGAGCCCGGCTCAATGCCATGCTTCACTTGATCTGTCTCTGAACACACTCCCAGCCATGCTTGGGATATCTGTGAGCTGAGCCTGAGCCAAGTCATGGCTGAGCCACTTGTGCATCTTTGGAAGCGACGAAGTGGCTCAAGCCAGAGCCGAGCTGTGACTTAATAAAACAGCCCTAAGTGTTTTGTACACTAAATTCGTTTAGAATTTTATCACATTGCTTCTGGGTTTACGTGTGTATAATTTAATGCTATGAAATGTTGGCTTTAATACATGGACAGTTTTTGAGGTTTTTATTACATAAGAGAGCTTATTAGTCCAAGTGCTGCTGCTCTTCATTGGAAACCAGGTTATAGTCTTACCTTTTGCTTAGAAGGTATAATACACAGGTAAATGTTAAAAACCGTTATAAACCCTATGTCAAAATGTAATGATGGAGCTATTTGTTAATTCGATTTTATCGTCACTTTCCCAATAATGCCTTGAATAATTTGTATAAGAAACCATTATTTTTTATTCATTGATGGAATGTGACTGGTTCACACGATCCTGACAGCCACTGGAGGTTAGACACAATCCACAATGGTAAAACAGACAATTTCAGAATCGAATTGTGACTATGATTGGCAACAATTTATCAAATCGCCATGGCAGTAAATTGTTACTTTAATGAGCACCAAAGTGATACCTGCAACATCTTCCCTCGGCCAGCCTGGTGTACACGCTCGTGAGCTCAACCCATACTGGAAGAACGGAGGAACAGGCCTCCCCCCACAGGAGAGCGAGCAATCCGTCGCCTCGGGAGCTTCTCAGGGTACGTCCAGCTCTTGTTGTTTTACCCCAGAATATACCCAGACCTGGGTCTGTTTTAGTGCCCTGTATTTTATAAGCTTTTGGTCACCTTTTAGGTTTTTGGCTCAGAAACGTGAGTAGACCTAGCTGACCAGAAGAGCGTCACGAAAGCTAGTGCCAAATGGGCATGCTGGTGCCAGCATTGACCATGGACCTCCCCACCCAGAACTGACACTGATGGATTTGCGAAGTGTTTCATTTAGATGGTTCATGACATTGCAGCAAGTTGCTCACCGCTTGTTTAATGGTGTGGCATTCAGGACCATCAGCGGTTGGTGACGGCGGGCTCAGCTGGCTGAGACGCGCTCGGCAGAGAATGCAAGAGCAGGCAGACAAGGAACAGAGGTCACTGGATGAAGTTCTCGAAGAGCGATATGGAGTGAGTGTACAGGGATATTTCGTCTACGTTCGTTTCCTGGCAATTATGGCCCAGAACCTCTAAATAACGTTTACCCTCCACTTCCCAGTTTTTGTTTTACATATATGTACAATAATTCGCTGTATTTGACAAAATCACTCTGAATCCCTGGCATGGATTGCCAGAAGCTTTGCCTGGGTAGTGCATTGGTGGTTGATTGCCTTGCTTTCAAAAGTTGGTATAGGCTGTGGCTTTGTTGTGGGCAGCAGAATTGACTGTTTTATTTTACTTCTATATTCCCATCCATGCTCTTGCCTTCACTAGGCTACACTGTCCAGCATGCTGAAGTATGGTCACAAAACCCCATGACCCTATTTCTCTGGGGACATCCTAAACCAGCAGTGAATTGAGAAAAAGGACTGCACACATACATAGTTGTAATACTTGTTGGCACATTTTATACTTTCTAGAGAAGTTAGAACAAAAACATGTTTTTTACATTGACATGAACATTAAAACAAAGTTTAACGATGCTTTAATATGTTTCTGTACTTGTTTTTCCAATAACATTTGTAATGCTTGTGGCTGAACTATTGTCTTCCCATTTTTTCAGTGCAAAGAAAAATTTTATTCGATGCTGGCAGAAGCAGAGCGCACGGCAGCATCTCAGCGGTTCTATAACCGGGGCGGTCAGAGGTGGAGGAAGACTGCAGAAAACAACTCGTCAATTCCTCCGGCGTGGAAGAGGGAAGAGAGACACAGGGACCGCACGGATCGTGACAGCCATGAGGAAGGGGAGAGAAAACAAGATGTAGACGGCACACAAGAAAGAGACCGGGGTCGCTCTGCTGGTTCGGACATGGACCGGGATAGGCAAAGAGACACTCAAAGAGATAGACAAAGAGGGGAGCAAAGAGACAGGCAAAGGGACGGGCGCAGGGATGATGAGAGAAGTCGGCACCAATATCAGGGGAATCGCAGAGACTGGAGCAGGGACGGCGAGCAGGACAGGGAGAGGCGGTCGCACTGTAGTCCGGATAGACATCGAGGTCAGAGAGATCGACATAAAGAGCGTGACCAAGAAAGAGAGGGAGGAAGGTGGTCTCGAAGAAGTCCTGATGTCCGCACCACCACCAACACATCTTCATGTTCTCTTAAGTCCAAGTTCATGAAGCCTTCAGACGACGATGATGTGGATGCATTTTCTGGAAGTGGCTTGGCCTTGAAGGAGCCACGCTCAGTGGAAATTCCTCGGAGTGCCTTTCGAAGGCCGAGAGACGATGATGATGATGATGGTGGTGGTGGTAATGCTAAAGATGTTCTTTCTTCCAGCTCAACAGTACCACAGAGAAAAGAGGTTGCTAAAAATGACCAAACTAGGGAACGTTCTGAAAGCCCAGCAGAGGAAGACAGACAGGAAACAAAGCAAAAAGCCCACTTGCGGGGTATAGGTAAAAGAAGTGAGCCCTCGTTAAAGCAAGCAGCAGATGATCGGTAAAACATGTTCTCATTGTTCTATTTACTTTGCATTAAGCTTTTACTGTGGTAATGTCCAACCAGATTCTGTGTCATATATTGAGTGTGCATGTTTGCACATGTTGCACACAGCGAATTGATGGCATGAGGACGGTTGCATTTTTTTATGAAAGTCTGTGGTTCACATAGTTGTCGAAGAATTACATAATCTGTTGACATTTCATCGACAAGTAATACGGAAAAATCAGTTTGCTAAAGCCATAATTTGTTTTTCAGTCCTAAGGACAAATCTTCCGCCACTACCGATGGTGCTGAATCTGCTCCAGTGGCTCTGGTTGCTGAGGCTACCCCAGCTGCTCCTTTGCAGGTGCTGAGTGAAGGAGAAATGAACCAGCTGGGGGCACGGCTGGTTAAAGCGGAGCTCCTGGGCAACCAGGTTTGTGGCTTTGTGTGAGCACGAGCGCTAACTGTGGGCCCAAGTAAATTGATCATCAATTGAACGTCAATTGGCTCGCCCATTGTGCAGTAACACGTTCTTGATTTTATACCCTATGTATATCTCGGCCTATGACGAAATCATCGGGACTGCACCCGATATCAGATCTTTGAAGCTCAGCAGCATTTAGTCGAAGGATTGCTTGGATGGGGGACAAGCATGCTGCAAGGCGTCATTGCCAGCAGAGGGCTTGCACATAAATAATATAATGTTGGACTGTACTATTCTGCAATGTATTTTGCTCCCTACACCAACCCACATTGTAAAGCATGGTGAAGTATGTTCAAATGACCCGCACGGTGTGGGGAGGTGCTCATCCAGCGTTGGATTGACAAAGGGGCTGTAGGTGTACATGTGTCTATCACACTTCACTGTGTGGGGACTGCTCATATCCTGTTTACAACCTTCAGCCTACTCGGGCAGCAGCGAGTCTGGCTATACGACAACTGCTGTGAACCGCCCACATAGTGGTACTCAAGTTAAATCCAAATTCTATTGAGTGTTATTTATTGAGCCCAGAGAGAGATGTAGAACCACGTTGACCGCAACCAGGATTTGAACGTGCAACCTTCCGATTGCAAGTCATGCACACTAACCGCTGAGTAGGTTAATTTGTATGCACTATTTATGATTCATATTCTTAGCTCTTTTGGTAAAGTCACGTTGAAGAGAAACAATAAAATAACAATAAAAATAACAATAAAATAATAAATTATATATAAATTATATATAATTTATTATTTTATTTTTTCTCTTCAACGTGACTTTACCAAAAGAGCTAAGAATATGAATTACTGCAGTCACGAAAGCTTTAAATCAAAATTTATTTATGATTGTTATTATTATTATTACATTTACTACTTTGGTTAGAAACTATCATTATAACTACAAAGATGAGCACTACATGTTGCATACCTTCTGGTGGCCAAGAATACTGATGGGGAGAGGCAGCCAGGGCAAGGAACATGCCTGAGACATCGACCACCACAGGGATATGGAGCAATAAAAGCAGCTCGTGTGCGCATTCTGGGTTGATTGTTACGTTAAAGGACCATGAGAAATGACGACGGCTTGGGGAATGCTTCATCCAGCAGTGGATTGCACTTGGCTGATGATGATAACAGCTGAGGGAAACCCTCTTTAAATCTGTACAACCTTTTTGATGTGATTTTTGGCGTGTGGATGCAGGAGCTCGCTGAGAAATTGAAAGCCCAGTTGGACGAGGCTCGGAAAGTCAAGCAAAACCAGACTCAGCAGCCGGGTTTTGCAGCCAGCCAGCAGATGACCAAGGTTGGGCACACTTATCATCTCCGTCAATCGTGATCGCAGCATCGTAAGAGCACAGTTATGATGTGGGATGATAAAAGGCCATGGTGACAGTTATGGCTCATTCCTCTTTTTTCGTGACTTCGCTTGTTGCTAGGCTCCTGTAAATGCGTAAATTCTAACCTTTTCACCCCAAATGCATTATCGTCAATCTTTCCTTTTAAATTGCGTAAAATTCCGAGGCTTTTTTTGAGCTTTGTAGAGATCGTTGGCAAAATAATGTTGCGTTTATCTGTAATGGTTGAAAAAAGCCTTTATATAAATTAACTCTACAATGGCAGACTAATTCTGCAGTGCAATCCATTTTGCAGTGAGTGGTATTGCAGTCTCCTTTATTTATTTGCGTCTCATTAACAATATTTGTATGTATGGTCACGAATTGGAGTTCTCAGCTCCGCCATGGAATGCTGTTCTGCATTTGCAGAGCCTAATTTAATTTCAAAGCACTGAGCATATGTCGCTTTATTTGTGACAACTTCCATGACTTGTATAAAATGTCTCTAAGCCAATTTTCCCTTGTCTCATCCCACGTTTTATGTGGTCTTCCCAAGCATTTAAATGTGTCTTAAATGGCCTTTTGAAGTAGATATAAATACTGTCCATTCTTCCCTTTATCTTGGATCGTGGTGATATTCTCATTAAAAAAAGATTGGATAAGTGTGACCTACCTTTCAGAAATCCTTAATTAATATCCGTAATTGATTTTCACTTGTCTTCTCATGTCTGCAATTATTTAATGATTATCCAATTTTTTTTCTTGCCGATTAACTTCAAGCTTAAGTGGCCCACATGAGTCATGTTCATCATCATCATCATGGGACCTTTCTTGCCAGTATCAAAATATAAGAATCGGGTTTTACCCTTTCTGGCAATAACACAGTTTGTGTTAAGATGATAAAACACCAAACTGAAACCTTTTGCAAGGAATCATGTCTGCATTAACCACACACAGTACTTGTGGTGAACATGCAAACAAAAACATGCTCTGGTAGTATATGCGTTGTCTTTGAAACTGATTTAACCACACACCAGAGTATTGCCAGAATGGGTAAAACCTATTCTTTTTGTTCATCATTTGAACAGATTAGAGTTATAGCAGAATATATTTTTGGTTAAATTGTGGTTTTTCTTTGTTAGCCTCGGTAGATTAATTTCGCCCAAGCAATATGTTGTCGATAGCCTATCACCAAATGACCTGGAATGTCAGATCTTAGAAGCTAAAGCAGGGCTGAGCCTGGATGGTGCTTGGATTGGTGACCACCACACCCAACGTGTCGTTAAAGATTATAGGCTACGTCAATAATAATAACAACGGTGATATCTTTAGCACTTTAACACCATGACAAGGACAAACCATTACACACGTGAGCAGCCTAGAGCAAAGCACAACAATCCATTGTTGTGCCTTACGACTTTGCTCCCGAGTCTCGCTCCCCGCCTTTACCTACCCACACTGGCCAACATTGTGAATTCTGGTCATATAATCCCCTCGACCTGCGCAGTGTGGGGAAACCCTCATCCAGCAGTGGATTAACGAAAGGGTTCTACATGTAGTGACTCCTCATGTCTGAACACTCATCAATATGTGTGTGAAACATCACATGTACGGAATATAAATATTAAACGATGCAGATGAAAGCGGCATACTAATATCTGGCAGATGCTTTGACGCAAGCTGTGACGTACAATGTCCCACATACGATTGACTGTCTGGCAACAGATAAAAACACATCAATACATGTCTCAATGTGTGCCTTTCTTACACACGCCGTCATACAGGCTGCAGGTGCAAGAGGCAGAGGAGCGGAGGATGAGACAGACGTGCTGCTGTACAGGACAGATCGAGCTGGGCAGTCGTGGCCTGTGTCCGCTCCCACGCACCTCGCGGAGTCCAGAGGGGGACGACACAAGAACCGCCCGGTGAGGAGCGGGAACAGAGGATCGGGGCAGGCAGATGACGATCGCCTGCGTAGCATCTTACCAGACCGGCGCCTTCACATGAGTGTCATATGTTGTATATGCTGCTGCACTCGGGTGAATGTGCAGCACTGTGGCATCACCGACCATGCTGTATAATGCACGCAGCCTTGTTTCAGACCACCAACTGATGACATCGAAGAAATACAAATATTGGCTGCATTGTTTCATGCAGCAGTGGGACAATGAGACAACTGAATTACCGGTTTCTTGCTAGGAATTATCGGTACAGTGCTGCCATTGACCACTGCTGGCCTTTCCCTTGGGGGCTGTTACGTCGATAAGCCCTCCCTGGTTACTGTGGATACAGTTGCCACTGCCTAAGGGTGACAAACGTTTTTTTTTTTCATCATGATCAATTTTTGCCTAACGTTATCCTGATTGTGATATCGGTGTCATGTCATGAGGTGAAGTGCCCATTTAGATTCCTCGCAGAGCAGTGCGACCCTTCGTGTTACGAACCCGCAGAACCGGATATCACAGAGCTACCTCCAAAAATGCCTTTAAGTGACCTCTGGTCTGCACAATAGAGGGCAGTGCTTTCCCACCCACTGTGCATATGACAATTTACTAAGTCTACCACTTTCTGTGCGATAATAGGCTCGTCAGACTGATAAGTGCTCGCTGGCTGAAAAACAATAAAGTATATGCACGTGTTGTGGGGAGTGTAGAATGCGTGTGAGTTGGTTGCCCCCGTCATGTGCCGTACAGGTGGAGACGCACACAGCCGGGGAGCGTGCGCGTTACTTTGGCGATGACGATCAGCACAGTCTGCAGGAGCTGGTGCGCAGGGAGCGCATGAGCACAGCCGAAGATCAGAATGCGATGTTCGCTCGCCTCTCCAAGGTGAGACCTCATCGTGTCGGCGACCTCGCCACTCCTGTCGTGACATTGTCGCAAATTGTAATTTTTTTTCTCTCCCGTCCACTTTCTATCTTTTTTTTTAAGTAATTTTCACTTATTGTTGACTATTTCGATTCATTGTTTTCTGCTGCCGTGTTTTTTTAAAGCTCAAAGCAAATTTCACTTTGGCTCACGCTGCTGAGATTGTACACCCATTCTGAACAAATTGACTGACTTTTAAATTGAGAATATCGTTTAGGAAATTCTAAAGTACAGTATACAGTTGACACGTCAATCATTCGCGAATTATGAAACATTCACTGAAACATCCCATAATATACAAGTTAACTTAGAGCATTGACAGTACCTGATCCAATCCAGGAATGTTTTGCAATGTTTAGATGAAAACATTATTTTGTTAGATGGGCGACAAACACACAAAGTGCTTGCCACAAATGAATCACAATACCCTGCTGATCTCGTCAGGAAGTATAAGCCATCACGCAAACTCCGGTCATCCTCGCATCTGCGTTTTGGCTAACCATGAAACAAAGAAAGACGGTCACTGCATCGCGCGCTTTCAGATGTGCTTCTGCGCCCATCTGGAATGCTCTTCCTTCCGATATTAGGAAGCCACTGGAGCTATGCACTTTTAAATCTAGATTGAAAACTAATTTCTTTAGAATGGCTTTTTGTGTTTAGTTGTCCTTCCCCCACACCTCCCGATTAGCATGGTTGTCTACGTACAGTGCAAAATAAGTTCAACATTCATAGAACAAACCCCTTTTTGTAGGGGTAATGTTCACAAACTAAAACCACTCATCCCTCTCCCCTGGGATCCGCTCCACCACCACCTGCTGGCATTATCCCCACCGCCCAGTTTGCGGAGAAAACGGACCGTGAATATTTCACGCTGGACGACATGTTCGTGTCGAAAGCGGCGAAGGGGGAGAGCACGGGCCGTGAGGACGAACGGCACAAGCAGCGTGCTATGGAGGAGCACCGCCGCCTCGTCGGAGAGATGGCCAAGTGCAACCACTGCTTCGACAGCGCCGACCTACCAAAGCACCTGGTGGTGGCCGTCGGCAGCAAGGTACTGGCACGGACGCACGTGCCGTGCTGGCCTGCGCTCCCAATCAGCCTTGCTCATATATACAGGATGTAGAAGCAATATAGGAACAATTGTATGTGGATAGTCTCGTCAGGTCAAAATGTGGAAATATTCAATTTTGGTCTTGGTTTGTGTCTCCCAAGTTTTGGTTAACCCCTTGATCAATTTGGCCAGTTTTCAATCGGGTGAGGCTATAAATAGCAACACAACTTATTCTAAAATATAATTTATATCGCTTCACCTTAAGGTGAACTACAATACCCCCCTTATTATGGATGGACAGAGCTAATGAACCAACATTTTCAACCTTCGTTGGAAAGCCTTGATAAGTTGCTTTATGTTTCCATTAAGTCAGTAGCATGTGGAACGCTGCAACGTCACAGCCCGCATTACATGGTCTGCAAAAATTATTCTTATGCTTTCATTTGCGTTATTATTTATTCTTAAGATTGATGCATAAATACATTTTCCAACATTAGGAACCGTTACGCACACGTGTAGCTTATATACACGAATTGGCACGCCATTTTAACCAATAATGCATTGAGCGGAAGACTCAGCTCCTCTAGGATTCTTAGGGGTCATTATTAATTCCCAAGGCTCACAGGACCAGCAACAAAGATGTGCAAAATGTTGAAATCCTCGACAAAGAGTGAGCGGCATGGAATTGGGAAACCACTTGGCTGTTTTATGCTCAGAAATCATGCAATCCATCATTTAAGAAACAATAATTTTCTCCATTTGCAAGTTATATGCGAATATGGCCTCAAGGCTAATTGAACAAACGAGGCAGAATACAGGTTTCCCGCAATTTAAGCGGGAGATGCGTTCCAAAAAAGGGCACACAAAGAAAAATTCCATTTCGTAAACCGCACAGTCGCCTAATCCACGCTATATTTCTCCTGCCTCAACAGTTTGCCTGCTGTATTTTTTCACCTGAAGACGATTGCTCGTGTTGCAATCGAAACGTCGTGATTTTTTTAATTGTTTTTCTATCTGCGTGACTTTACCGAAAGACCCAAAGAGTACAATCCACAATGCACCGTACGAGGAAGCAGCTGCCTGCCGAGTAACGCATACTGTGCACGCAATGTTGTCTCACATCCGACCGCGTAGCTGCATATGAGTGAATTCAAACGGCATATAGCGAATTTGGGGCAGAAATAGGTTAGTCGCATATGCAACGCGAAATTCCACAAACCGATACTGTAGCCTGGTTATTAAGTTTGGTTAGTGTGCTGGTAGCCTATAATGTAGACTGTAGCCTGGTTCTTAACCTCGGTGAGTGTACTGGCAGTCTATAATGTAGACTGTAGCCTGGTTGTTAACCTCAGTGAGTGTACTGGCAGTCTATAATGTAGACTGTAGCCTGGTTCTTAACGTTATTTGTATTTTTTTATTCACTTTATTTTTATATCTAAGTGACTTTACCGAAAGAACCAAATGATAATCGATCTTTACATGCTCAATTCGATCATTGCATTCTGAGCATAAGAATTGTTTTAATTTGAATTATTCCACACCTACACGAGACCCTTCTGCTCCGACTGTTTTCATTATGAAGTGAATTTCATTTGAAAGCAGGGTGCTCTTTGATGTGCTTTTTTGTTCAAAAGGAAAATTATTTAAGCCACCATTGAACACTGAACAGTTGGCATATGCACCCAGGGGCGGTTGCCTTACTCTGATGTGCTGCCACCGAAACCCAGCGGGCTGCAAAATCACTGCCGCTACACTTTCTAGCATTGGTTAATGCAGTCTTGAATGCGAAGCTAGGATTGGCTGCCCTGAAATACAAACTTAAAGCCAAAGCCTCTATTCACATTAAAATCAAACACACAGCTTATTTCATAAGATCCAACGCTGAGAACAAATCCCATCAAAATGCAGCGACTTGCTGTGGATTCATGGGTTGGACTATTTTCCGCATAGTACCTGCCAGTCTTATTTTTAAATCTGTGAGCCTGAATACATATTGAATGGTTTACAGGCCGTGTGTGTGTGTGTATATTCTCATCGCTTAGGTGTACCTGCGCCTGCCCAGCCAGCAGTCGCTGGCTGAGGGCCACTGCCTAATTGCTCCACTGCAGCACTTTTCGTCCGGAAACATGCTGGATGAGGACATCTGGGCTGAGATACAGGTGTTTGCCATGTTACGCTCTTGTGTGTCGCAACACCTCTGCTTGAGGTTCACTTCACGTTGATACGGGGTGGCCCAAAAGTCAGAACACATCGGGTTAGCATATTTAATTTAACAAATCACAAAGGATTATTTCATTTATTTTAACAAAAGTTAAAACTGACTTGCATTGATATTATAGCATGCGTGAATTATCTTCTGAAATGAATTTAGGACTTTTTTTAAGATGACAATTGTAATCTCTGAGCATTCATCAATTATGTTTTGTCTAAATCCATTAATGGATCTTGGTCTAGTTTTAAAAAAGACTGATTTGAGGTGACCACACAGGATGAAGATTAAATATTTACTTAAAGAATAAAAAAAAATCATTTCAGTGTTCAAATTAAATAACCCTATGTGTCCTGACTTTTGGGTAACCCTGAATATACAGCCCTTTTTTTTTTCAATCCACTGCTGGTTGAGGGCCTCCCCATGCCTTGTGCCCATGAGGGATATTTGACCATACTTCACCATGCTAATCGTTGCAGGTTGTTGAAGGTGGGAGGAGAGCAGAAAAGAGATGCATGTTTTTCTGCACTGCCTTCAATACCTATTAACAACTCTTTTGCGCATTGCAATCACCCATCCAAGTCCTCAATTGGCACGAAACCCCCTTTACTTTCGAGACCTGCTGGTATTGGCAATCCAGAGTGTTTTGTTCATGGGCAAAATACTGTTAAAAACGATCAAAATTGGGGGATAAATTGGGCAATAATAGTGGCTGAGCTTAACAGCAAGTGAAATCAGTGCATATGATGCAATGATGATGGTTTTAGGGGAAATCACAGCAACATCGTAATTTACTTGAAATCCATATCCTCTTGTCAATTAAATACCCCTGTACTTGTACAAATTCCACCGTTCCATTAGCCTGAGAGTTATAAACTATCTTGCGATGGATGTGGGGTGAGAATTGAGCACCCAGGACATTGTGTTAAAAGAGGCCCAAGAGAGCGTGCCATGCGTGGAAGCTGTACGTGGCCCATGCGTGGATTAATTGTCATTAATCTCGGCTTCTTTGTTATGACTCGCGCTTTGTGCATCTAATCGTATATTGATATGGAGTGACAGGCCCACGGATGTATATGATGGGTTGCGCCTTGTTAAAACCCGTGCTTTGTTATAATTTTTAAAAATTAACTTGGATGGCTTGTCAAAGTGCACATTATCAACAAATACAAGAAAACATTTATACAGGGAAAGGAAATATTTCAGTAATTTAGTACTCTCTTTTATTCACAAGCGAGAACAAATACGTAGTGAAATAATATTTCACGGATATAATTGTAATGACGTCGATGGAAATTTGATGAGCAACATAATGTTCTATTTTTTAATTCGCAATAACAAGAGTATTGCAAGTAACAGCACCACAGATCATTATAACTACATTTTTATTTATTTTCAACTTGTTTAAATGTGCTCTGACTTGGCTAACCACCACGATACATACTGGATTTCCATTCAGAAGTAGGAGAAATAACTTGTTCGAATCACAATTGCCATGTTTTAATTAGAATATGTTCAGCAGCTTAATGTTTATCAAGATGGAGTTGTTTCTTTTTAAGTCACTAATATGTACAGTGATTTATGCACTGATGTATTACGTTCATAAGCTCGTGGAATCTGTCACTTGGAGCTTAAAACCCTTACACTTTAAAAGGACGTGTAAAGTATTGTCCTGATTATGAGCACGATACGTATTTTGAACGGACCTACGTCTCAACCACCCCATCTATTTCCAACGAAAATAAATTACGCTTAATTCTTAATGAAAAATGTAATTGGAAACCCAGAATCAATTGGCTTTTTGGCGCTGATTTGCAGGTATCAGCTATGCGTGGCAAGACCAGTCGCGCGAGTTTTTAACTGCCACGGTTTGCCACGCAGTCTTTCCGCCGTGCGCTGGTGAAGATGTTTGCGGAGCAAGACGAGGACTGCGTCTTCATGGAGGCGAACATGCACCTGAAACGCCGACCACACATGGTGTACGAGTGCGTGCCCCTTGCCCGTGAGCTGGGTGACATGGCTCCCATCTACTTCAAGGTGAGCTCATGTATAACAGCCCCGTGTGCATCCGCTGCTTGGGTTTCTTCAGCTGTAATTTCCGGCGGGCGGGCGGGCTGAATACTAAGACGAGCGCCCTGGCGAGCCACGTGACACGATACATGACGTGTATTGCCGTTGTGACTTAACGACGTGTGAATACACGTTGGTGATAATCTCGACCCCACGTCTCGGTCTTCCATCATCCCGTTTATTTTGGTTTCTTCTCACCAATATTGGTCTCTTGTGTTACAGCTCTGTCATTTCTGTGTCTTGCTTATTTCTCTTTCGTATCACTCAATCTTTTTCTTTTGAGGCTGATTATGTTGGCATGCTCTTGACATCTTTTGGACAGGCAGTGGCACTTAAAAAAACACACACTTGGAAAATTATTTGGTTTCAACAACATTTAATATTTTTTGGAGGGAGAAAAATATTCCTTGACAAATAAGAAAATTGTCAAATGTGCTTTTACAGAGGTATATTTTGGATTATCCTGTAGGTTTACTTATGTACTTTATTAAATGGCAACAATGGTTTCGATATTTTTTGGGGCATTTTGCGAGCAGATAAATAGAGGATTTTTCAGTGTTTTCACAGCCATGAAAAGTTAATCATTTGTAGCCCTTTATCAATCCACCAGTGGATGAAGGCCTCCCCATGCTATTGTCGGTCTTATCGGTTGTTTTACCATACTTCACGCTGGTAAGTATGGATTGGTGAAATGCATAGCCGGGATCGTGTTAGATGCCCCTCACTACTGTTTGCTGTGGCCAGAAATCAAACTCAGTTCTCTGGGTTCATAGCACAGTTCACTACCAACTGCACCACCACTCCAATCACAAGCACACGTGCACACAATGCACACATACAAATAAAACCCATCTGATGAAAAAAAAATTTCAGATAAAAATAACAGCTGCAGCTTACAAACTAGATGCTATGAAGACACGTTTCAACCCTGTATTGGAGGCAGCGGAAATAATGGATCAGTGGGTGTTCATGTCTAGAGAATGCCAGATCGGCAACTTCACAAGGTGACATTTTGGAGCAAACCGTAATAAAATACAATTTTCCATGATCCAGTTTTTTTCACTTAGATTTGAGGTAGACCACAGTTGTCCTATGGCCTCTGATGAAGTGGATGACAACAATGGTTAGTATGACTGACGACGATGATGATGATGGTGGTGATAATGATGGTCGTGGAAATGGCTGTTGTGTTCTGTAAATGTAGAAAGCCATTCAAGAATCGGATGAGGAGTGGGCCATGAACACCAAGTTGGTGGACCTCTCCCAAAAGGACATTCGCAGAGCTGTAAGTTACATAACCGTCCATTCTACAGTGCCACACACATACACCAAAGATTGTTACCGACTGGATAAGTGGACGAGCACAGATAGCCGGCAGAAATGGCAGGCAAAACAGTGTTCATTTGCTCATCAACAGTTCAGTTAATCTAGAATTGAAGCTTTCGTGACTGCAGAAATTACTATACTCATTGTTTTTTTTAGTAAAGTCACGTATGTGGAAATAAAATAAAATTTAAATAAATAAAATAAAATTAGATTCAAATAAATCACGACGTTAAGTTTTTGTAGATTTGACCGAATAGTTCAGGTTGACATTTGTCCCCATTACATTTGCAGTCATGTTGGTTTTTAATCACTTTTCTGATGTGTGCGTACAGTGCATTAAAGAACAGTGTTAAATATTAAAAATCAATGTTTTTTCTGGATGGGATTAGGTAATTATGCTTAAAAAAATCCAACTGAGACATGAAACTTGCTTCGTAAAAACTTAAGGGATTTAGAAAAGTTTAGGAATTATACACGGCTTGGCACGTTTCCACCTTTCTGGAACACTGATCTTTTACCAATCTTAATTGCTCGGTTCATTCGGTGCAATGGCCCATTTCATATGAATCAAACTTACAACATTTTCATGCATATCATCACACACACTAAAAACTGTCAGGAATGCAAATGTATTTGTGCGTAGATGCATGGTGATAATTTCCTTAAAGCTTTCGTGGCTCATTTATATTTTTCCATATCGATGAGCCAGCAGTAGAATTTTTCCTTGACCTTTATTGAATTTACGTACCATTAAGTTGTCATCATCATTATCATCCACGCCTCGCAAACTGTTGCCGTCAACGCGAGACACTCAAAGAATAAATCAAACCACGGAAAAAACACCCAAACACCGCATTTTAATGTTTGTTGAAAAATTATTCAGGTCTTTAGAATTACATTTTTGTACAATTTCCAAAGTGAGTTTGTGAATGCTGATTGCTATCAAGGAGACTATAGGCATGGTAACATTCCCTCGAACAAAAAATTATGACGTTGACAACCATATGATTCGGTTGAGCTGAATTATTTCAAATTGCTGCTTAGAACAATATTAGTCATAATCGCAATTTCACAGTGTTGGATTTTAGTGAGCATATTTTGTCAAATTATAATTATGAATATGCTTAACCCTCCACGAGGCCATCATATTTGTAAAATGTATACAATCCATTGCTATACTTGTAGACCCTGTACAGTTCTCATTTGTAGAGGGTATAACAAATTGCCAGTAAACTTGTTACACAGTAGACAATTACAACGTTATACTGGTTGGTACAACAGCACGCAGTGGGGGGGGGGGGTAGGGAATGGTGTGGCCAGCATCATGTCTGCTCACCTTTGTCTTGACAGTCCTAATGTTGCTCATTTATGTTTGAGCCAACATAGGAAAGGCCCAGGACTGATTAAGGTATCCGAAAATCATAAACTCGGGTATTTGGGTTTACAGTGCAGTCTGTTAACCACTATCCCTCCGCTCCACCCTACAACAACAACAGTGGCCGATTGCCACCAAGTGGCGGTGACGTCACCACGACGCCTGTGCCAGGCAAGGTGCACTAAGAGGCCACGTGAAGTGTCGAAGGCTCGCTGACAGGAGGTCACGGTACAGACCCAGCTGCTATGGGTTGACTGACTGAGATAACTGGCAGATGCACCAGCTGCGCCCACTACTGTGCCAACTTTTTGAATTTTAGTCGCCCGGTGCTCCACTCGTTGTGAGCATCACTCCTCTGTTGTTTAACGGGTGACTCCTCCAACTGCCCAGTAGCGCCCTTCATGAGCCTCCTCCATAGAGGCTGATCTTTATACTGCTGGTACCAGTCCACTCAGCTCCACATCCTCCTAAACCGAATAAGTCCATCACTTTTCCAGCTCATGTCCACACCCCTTTAGCCCCCTCTATCCAGTCAAACAGAAGCCGCGTGGGCATGTGGTAGCTGGGCATGCAGGCTACGTAACCCAATCAATGCAGCCTTGCCCACCGGAGGAGCTCACTGATGGAAATGTGTCCAGATCTTTCAAGGCACACACACAGAAGACACAAATGTACCTACTTTGGGGTTGTGATACCACAAATCCACACCTTTTACACCATCAGGGGAAGGGACAACATACCCCACTGCAATTTGGGTTTTTACAATGTGGCTCAAATTGTTTTTTCTTGCTGCCAGGAGCAAAGTGGAAGTCTTTAGGAGATTGGATATTGATTGAATGTCTGTACCTCCATGCTTCACTACACTTATTTTATTGGACAAGGATCTTTGTATATGTATGCGATGCACAGAAAAGTATCTCTACCGTAGTGTTTTATTGGGTTCTCAGTGCATGTGTGCCTCCGTGTGATGCTTTGGGTGGAGCAGTAGTGCAGTGGTTGGGCGCACCGTGCAACTAACCTCTTTGATTCGTGCTTACGGCCAACATCAGCAGTCCTGGGCCTTCCATAAGTTAACTCGGCCTTTAACTGAATACCTGGTGTGGTTTGTAAAACATCGGTAATAGAGAGCTCAAGGTGGGGGTGCGTGGTTCTGGCCCCACCACCCCCTCGTGTGCATTTCTGGCTCACAAGGTGCTCACATACAGCACTTGCCCCAACAGTATCTACTGCTATATGAGGGATCTTTGTTTGTGTTAAATAAACACAACTTTTTTCCTGTGTACACCATGGGAAAGAAGTACAATAAGCAATTTAATATTACCCAAAACATTTTTTATCTGTACACATTTTCTCATCCTGTTCTTAGTGGTGTCAAGATGCACGTATAAAATCGCACGCATTCGATGTTATTCGGTTAATGTTGAGTGCATTTTTTTATCCTGCAGCCACTCCAGGTTGCTACATCCATCACTGCTTCAATATATATTGAATTTAATTGTGACCCTGAATTGGGATTAATGTATCCTAATTGCCAGGGAGCAAGAGTGAAGCTGAGAAAATCATACTCGTGTCACTGTCTGCATAAATATCGACAGCCTCTGGCCAAATCACCTGCAATGCACGCAAACTCATATCTCACAAGCTAAGCAGGTTTAGCTGGTTGAAAGCAGAAGAAAGTGCTGCAAAATCCATTGTTGTACTGTATTGCTATGCTTCCGTGTTTTCTCCTCGCCTTCTCCAACCCTGACGCCAACGTGGTGATGTGTGGTCAAATAACCCCCACGACCGGCATGGAGTGGGGAATTTCGCATCCAGCAGTGGATTGCATAAAGTGCTGAACATGTGTACATTCAGAGAGACGAGCACACTAAACATACCTCGATCATCAGCCGAGTCGGCTGTATTTTATTGAGACAATGTAAAAGGCAAATGACGTGAATGAATTTAATCTAGTTGTTAATGGTGACGCTGCTTCCCGGTAGCAATGGAACATATTACTATTTCATTGAATTATTTTTGTGAGGTCCACAATGTGTTTAATGGAGAGAAGGCCCAAGTTCTGACACAACAAGCTTAAAATGTTTTCAATCACACGGTCCCATTATGTTATTTTCCTCATTTATTGCTAACTAATACAATTGGAATGCCTATCTTTATCATCATAATCGGCCATGATCCATCCACTGCTGGATGATGCCTTTTGAAGTTCATTCATTCGAATGACTATGCCAACTTTAAATCTGGTAAATACTCGAACCGTTTATATTTCAGTGTTTCTTTCTCAAATCCAAAGTTTTGGAAAATATCATCCTATGTTGTTTCTGCTGCTGCTGCAATTAGCCTTGATGAGATGCCACTGTTACCGTGTATTGTAGTAATAATCCAGCCTGTCCATTTCCTTCACTCCCTGTATATCGGCAATTGGCGCTGCTGTTCCACGGCTGGCGTCCACGGGCACGATGCTACTGTTGTTCAACGTATCACGAGTCATGTGACTGTGTGCCTTCCTTGTCGTTTCAGATTCCAAAGGGCTTGCCATACTTCAGCGTGGATTTTGGCATGCAGGGTGGCTTTGCTCACGTTATTGAAAACGAGCAGAAGTTTCCCGACTATTTTGGAAAGGTGAGCGTTCACCTCGTCACCTTCACTGCCGCATGATACGGGTGCATGTATATTTCCGCCCAGCATCTACGCTGCTGGCTCTCACTCCCATTGTTATTCGATTGTCATCCGAGGGGATGTTCCTCGATGTGGAAGGAGCAAATTAAGTCGGTCCATTTGCAGGTGCAAGGTGAATTGTTACATCACATGATCTTGAGAGCTGTCGGTGGCTTGGGGAGGCCTTAATCCAGCAGTGGATTAAGATTGATGATGAAGAAAGATTGACGATGAAGTGCTTGCCACAGTGGCAAGTGTTCCCAAACGCACGTCTGCCTCTCATAATCAGAATCTTTGTTCATCCTGGAGAAATCCGATGGGTTGTGATGCTCATTTTCACACACGTCCAGGTAGGATGGGTCAGAAAGTTACAACAAACAATACAAAAAAACAGATTGGAGTCCAAGGTATAGGAAAGTTAAGCAAATCACAAAAAATGTCAGCTAGATATAGTATATGAGTACAAATTGCAAAACTATTGAAATTCCTGTCGATTTTTCAAACATAAATGCGAGCTTTGGCAAGGCACTTGGGAAGGGCTGGCAAAACAAAACCCCTGCCAGATTGATTTTGTTTTCACCAGCAGTGCTAGTGGTAGGCGTGTACTGTTTTATCGCTTAACTTGTCACAATTGCATATATATGGATTGATTACATCATTTGTATGCACATATGCAATCAGATTGCGACCCTAACAGTTAATCGAATTGCGGGTGGTAAGGGGGGAGTGATTACTTGCCCAAGTGTAATTCTCCTCTGGTATACAATTTTGTCACCATGGCAGAAAGTTCTTCCCAAGCAAAACGGTGATACAACCAACATTCCTCCCTTGAAATATGGATTACTGTGAGCTGCTGTACTCCTGCATTTATACTTATGTATGAGTATATGAATATGTACATATCATTTTTAAGATAGGATGCGACATCAGTTGCTGCGAGGCTATTGGCAGGTTTTTATGTCTGCGTTCATTATTTACGAGCTGTCACTGCGATGCTATATATTGTATATCTGCAGGGGAAATGCACATATCTGTGCCTGTGATGACACATTTGGGACGGTGACACACTGCCCGCTGCATTTTATTGAAGCATTGACTGTACGATTTATTTCTAGTTTGGGAAAGATTAGGTTGATGTAAAACATTTATAAATGCAGCATAATAGTATGATGCCATCTTAATACTTCCAACAGAGGACTTGGAGTCTTGGAACAGAAAACAAAAACTTTAATCTTGGCATCATAGGTGGTGTGACTTCACACACAGCTTAAATAAATGCTTGCACACGATTTCAAATAAATCATCTCAGTGCATATTGTATTAGTTATCATGGTAATGATATTGATGTCACATAAAAAAACACATTTGCAGTGTATATATTAATACCAGGAGTGATGTAATAAAGCCCTGAAATACACATTTAAAGCAGCTGCTTCCAAAAATAAAATGCTAATACTCTGCCAGGCCCAGTAATCCAGCACTTTGGAGGCAAGGATTGGTGGATGGCTCATATTTGTAAAACACCAAAACCCGCTGGGCTGGGGAGATGGCCATGGGTTGGTCATTCGGCAAATGGATTGAATCCATCTGTGCGGAACTTTTGTTCTTAATCTCCCACATGCCAAACATTAAAGAGTGGAACCGGCCAAACATCTCAATGCAGGACCTTTTTCTGACAAAAAGCGGGTCTTAGGGTGAGATTGAGGAATTCAACGAATAAAGCCAAGGGTAGCAGCGTTATTGTTGTTACAATAATACGACAGTCATCACGATGGGGCATGCTGATGCATGTTGCGGCGGGGCGGGAGAGCAAACTGACGCTTTTTGTGCTGCCTTGCGAGAGATTTGAGGCAGCCAATTGCGGGGGGTTGTCTCAGATAAATTGCTAGCTTTCATGCTCAAATGTCCCGTGTGCCTGAAACAATTTGCCATGCCTGCGATGCCGGCCTCTGACGTTGTTATCGTGCAAGACAGCTGGTATTTGAGCTTGTGGTATATATTTTTTCTTTCTCTCGCTTTTCCATGCTCATTGGCTGTCAGTGTTTTTTTTTGTTTATTTTGAATTCGCTGCGGTGATTGTGTGTAATGAGCAAAATGCCCCGCATCTTTTCAAAACGCATTATCTATTTTTCTTCACGTGCAAGTAACCTTCAACATCAAACGTGGTTGAGTAATTGCTTGAATGTAAATGTTTTGCCATCGGTTTTTTCCGCCACTATTCTTTCTTGGCAGTGGTTTGAAATTAATTCATTTTCCATTGCAGGCTGATTAACTACCATAGCCTTGCAGTCCATAACTGAGTGCAACGGGGTTTCAGCAAGCATGTGTATTCGAGTGCAGTGCACATCGCTAAACATGCGGTGGTGCGACGGTGGGGTGGTAGCACAGTCGTTCACACAATATGTGATGAACCCGGCGGTCCGAGTTCGATTGCCGGCCACGCCTAACATCAGGGGCGATCAATATCCAAACCCTGTCCCTGAGCAGCCCCCTATCCCTTAAGCAACCCGTACTGACCAGCATGGTGAAGTATAGTAAAAGAAATACCCATGACCAACACGGTATGGGGAGGCTATCATCCATCCAGCAGTAGATTTACAAAGAGCTATAAATAAATATACGCATTGGCATACTCGTGCCCATGTGTAAATGCACTGTGGGCACGGAGAGCCGTGATCGGTTTCCACAACGCAAATTTACACTGGAAGGAAAAAGATCTTTACTGCACGCACTCACTGGAGCCTGATCTTGTATACGTTTTCGATAAATGCCATCGCAAAGTGAAGGAGAGGGGAAAAGCAATTGTCGTGGCAGTTAGTGGGTATACTGGGAAATGAAAATCCATGTATGAGGTGAACAAGGAGCAGAGTGAGAGTGGTGTATGTGCACTTGTGCCTTATAACCCAACGGCGCTCACAACAACGAGCAGAGCGCCAGGTGGCTAAAGCACATCAGGTTGGCACAGTAGGGGGCACAGGTGGTGCATCAACCAGTCGTGTCAGTCATCTTAGTCGACCCGTGGCACCTGGGTCTGCCCCGTGACCTCCTGTCAGCGGGCGTTCGACACTTCACGTGGCCTCAAGGTGCACATGGCCTGGCACAAGCGTCGTGGTGACGTCACCGCCACTTAGTGGCGAATGGCGGTTGTTGTTAACCCAAATACGTGTTGATGTACAGACCTTTATTAACCCACTGCTGAATGAGGGGTTATTTGCCATACTTAACCACGCCCATAAATGTGTATTGGCGAAGGTGGTGAGCATGGAGTAGCGAGCATATAAGCACAGTACAACAATGGATTTTGCTACACTGCCGTCTCTGCTGCCTACAGAGTTTTATATTTCCTTACAAAAATGAACATTTTATCAGTCACTGCACAAAAACTCATCACATTACCTTCGGTTGTCCACTGAATTTAATTCAAATATCGGTTTTACTGTCACTGACAAACATTCTGATATGCTGAGCGGGTAGGAAAGTGCTGCCCCCTACTGTGTCACTTTCTGTTCATTTGGACCCGAGAGGTCAATTGTGATATCCGCCTCCGCGGGGCATTCTCTAAAACGACAGCTTACACTGCTCTGCGATAATACCAGATGGGTTTATCTTGAGAGACTAAACTCGCCCTCACCTATGTCTTAGCGTGGTCTGCTGGGATTATTTGAACATCTCCAGCAAGTGTGTGTACATGATGCAGATGGATAGCACAATTGGAACAAAATTGTGAGACTTTTGCGATTTATTTGTTTTAAAGGGCCGATATTTTTAAAATGCGGTGGTTGTGCCGGGCTGCTCTCTTCTCCTCCCTATGCCACCTGCAGGAGATCTTGGGGGGCATGATGGACCTGGAGCCGCGGCGCTGGCGGAAGCCGTTTCGGGAGCCATTCGAGGAGCAGCGCAAGAAGGTGCTGCAGTTTGCACAGAGATGGAAGCCCCACGACTTCACCCGGAGCTAACAACGAGCGGTCGCGGTGCAGGCAAGGGATAGCTCGCAGCACGAGGAGCCGCTCCGCGATCCATTGGCTTCTGACATCTATTTCGCTCCTATGCTGGGAGCCTCTTCCTTCACCTTCTTGAAGGAGGCTCTCAGTTCCCGAAGCTCCCCAGGACGTGGAGCGAAACGTTGGACGTCAATCCGAACGCACGGTACAACCGGAAAACACATTGGAGAGCTAAACCGTGACCGATGTCTCAGTGTGTTTTGCGGAGATTATCTGAACGTCTTCAGCAACTGTGTTATACGATCTCAAAGTGTATGTTAACTCGGTGCTTTTGTAAAATATTTCTACAGTGGGCTGCCGTGCAGCCGCCATGCAGCTAGTCACATGAGCTGACGATGGGGTCACCACTTCATATATAGAGGGCTTTCAGGGACAGCTGAGTATGGTGCCACTGTTGATGTCTGTCAGTTCCTTTCCTAGTAACCAATGGATGGGCATTGGCTCGCGGTTTTGAGCAATTGGCTTTGTGAACCACTGGGAAATGAATTGCGTAAGTCAAGTGAGCAAGTTGCAGATGGTTTGGAAACTTGATCCAGGTTTAAGTGCGAAATTGTGGCATGATGTAATTCAGCTGGACATTGACATGTTCCTTCCATTTGTACAATACTGCCCGTACAATGTAACGTTTAAAGTTAATGTACTTTTTAAAAAAAAAATCCATCCCTGTGTATTCGTGTCATCTTTAACAAAAAATAAAAATGATGTGTATACACTTTTTTTTTGCATACTACCTGCTATGACGTGGTTCAGAAGGAAGGTCATCGACACAAAACACGGAGAGAGAAAAAAGTGCGCGTAAAAACATGGGAGAGAGACGCATCGTTGGAATATACATTGAGATCGAGAAAGAGGAGCACATGGAACATTCACGTGTTAACTTCATCATTCACGCTTAACACAAGTGAGCGGTCTTAGGCAGGTCACGACACTATTATAAAGTGACGGTGACCGATGATCAAGAACAATGATGTTGTGGCAACCAGGGATTGGGATGCATCTGAGAGAGGACGTCCTCCGAGGAGATGGGTCGATGAAATCTGCTCCCGTGCAGATGCTAGGTGGATTATTACGTCGCACGATTTTTAATGCTGAAGACTTGGGAAGTTAGCCAGCAGTGGATTGATCATGGCTGATTGTTTTTTTAAAATATTTGACGTTTGAAAATACACATTTAAAGCATGTTTTCTTTGAAAGTTTATGCATACCGTCAAGGACCCAGAACCCATTGCCTTTCATCTCATTTGTGTAAAGCTTCTTAACTTTCAGTGTTTGATCAGACCACAAAAAGCATACTTCCTTTGATGTAAATTGCAAATGCGGTGCCGATATTTGAAATAAGAATCCGATTGGCTTATGTAACGGGTCATATTGGGTTGTGTACTGCACAAAAGCCCTCTATAATCAACGTGTCTCAACTACCTTAAGTGCTATGCACTTAGCTCTAAACCCAAGGTTATGCAGCAGTCATGCCTGACAACTTGGTAATAATGCTCTTCACACCTTCAGCATTGGGGTGCTTTGGCATTATGAATTCTGTCGACCATAGCTATGTAAGTTACCAGACCAGCTACGGACCATTGTATTCCTACTTCAAATGTACATGCTAACTGAACAGTGTCCTGTACTAATTAACACTTCTGAATTAAATGTTTACCCTTTGACTGAACATTTTATAAGCCGGCTTGTGGAAATTCGTGGGGTTTTGTACCCAAACGAGGGGAGCAAATGTCACTGAAATGGAAAAGTCAAATAATGTTTATATTTTGTGTCATAACCTGGGCATGTATTTCAAAATGTAAGCCAAATGGGTTCAGAGATTCTTAGTTGTAATTGAGAAAGTATTTTAGCATTGCAGTGAACATTGCGTTGAATTTTGCATTGAACATCGCAGTAAACATTGCATTGAACATTACAGTGAACATTGCATTAAACATTGCATAGAACATTGCAGTGAACATCGCAGTGAACATTACAGTGAACAATGCATTTAATGACCTTCACTCGAATTGATGCATGTATTCTGAGCTTAAAATTTTACATTAACGATGCAATGCTGCACCGATACCCTTGTGATGAGCCATCTCGATATGGGCAATATATTTACCGTACTTCCTATTAGCCAACGATAGCGGCGAGTGATACCTGCACTGGAACCCACCCCTCTTCAGCAACCCGCTTTGACCAGCGTGAAGCATGGCCATACATTCCCCATTACTGACACGGCATGGGGATGCCTACATCTAGCAGTAGAGGACCGAGAAAGCAAGGGTGAAACGATCGATTGGGAAGATCGCTACACACAACATTTCAGGTTGTTGCCTGTTGATGTTAATGGTACACTTTCACGAGCCGTTTGGTTAAGATACCACTAATAGTTTAATGGCACCAATCCATTAAGCTAAAGTAAAGACACAAGCCTAACAGACTACAGTATAAATAAAGCAAGATTTAGACGATGTTGGGCCTTTATACGAAAAGTCACATGCAAAACATTAAGGCTATGTGATTGGTTCAACCGGTGATATTAAAAGGTGCCAATATATGCACACAGTGAAGGGAATTAATCAAGTTTTAGAGCCCTTAATTACACGATAGATGTTCTGCTTATAGCATTAAAATTGATGACATTCCACCTAATTCCATGTCATCTTGTCTGTTAATGCAATTAATTAAATAGCATAATGTCATCATCGCTGCTCTATGGAAATCCGAACAAATGTTATAGAACAAGACGAGGAATGCAACTTTTATTTTTAAGTGCTGCTTTATTGACATAAATATTTAAATTAGAACGCTGAGTCACAACATTTCTGCGTATTTCAACGGCGTTATTAATCCATATTTGCGACAGGGAACGCTTAACAGATGACACAATTCTTTCACACCTTCGCACGATGGGGGCTATGTGGTGGGCAACAGAGCACATCCATTGATTTACTGTACTATGCGCCCCACATTCACCGATTGGCACTTACCAGCACGGTGAAGTATGGTCAAATTGCCCCCATGACTTGCATGGCGTAGGGAATTCCCTCGTCCAGCTTCAACAGACCCAAATCGACTCCGACCACGATCCGCAGCTCGCGGTGACCTGCTGCTGCAGCCACGTGTAAACCTCGCGTGCGATACGGCCAGCGCAGTTTCGGGGTCTCCGGCCCAAAGACCCTGAGCACGCTAGCAGCTCATGTTCGGGATCCATCGCCGAGTCTGAGCCAGTTCCGCAACAGACCCAAAACTGTGTTTTCAGAGAGCCTACTTTCAACGTGGGATCAATGCACATTCGTGACGGACTGGACTCGTAAGAGTGTGCAATATCAAATGTTCTTACTCGTCAGCAGTGGATCAACAATAGAGCTGTACATTTACGTGCCATATGATGATGCTCGGTTTAAACGTTAGGAATTTGCCTACATTCTTCCAATCTGTGAAGGCCACAATTGACTCCACACGTAACAATTCACCTCCTCCCCCAAGAAATTCGATTCATTCGAGGTCGCAATTCAAAAATATCTATAATCATGTCTTTTCCTTCATGGTGTCTCTCATTCATTGTCCCGTTTTAAGCTTAATTTGCTCCTCCTTTCCCCCAAAATTAACATTCACCCGATCATTTGTGTATCGGTTGCATGCACTAAGTAATTGAATCTCACACGTGACTCAATCCGTGCGTCACGAGAGTAAGGATGGATATGGATCAATGCAATGATACAACGTTAGGTACGTAATGTCGAGTTGCCACGAAGCTGTACTCGGTTCATCAAGGACTCAATAATATGTGACGTGCGTAATGTAGAGTTTCCATGAAGCTTTAATCTGTTTATCAATGATACAACGTTTATCAATGATTATCGGTGTATCAATGATGCAACGTGACGTGCATAATGTAGAGTTGCCACGAAGCTGTACTCGGTTTATCAACCTGGGAGCGATGGAGGAACGAGTCGACCCCATAACCGGACCTCAACTCAGAACTTTTGCATTGCAAGTCATGCTGCTCACTACTGTACCACCCGGCCAGATATGGGGGAAAAAGAATGGACAAGAATAGCCACAATTATAAGGACAATTAAAAACATTCACTATTTACTGCCATTTTTAATGACAGAGACGGTGGGTCCGCTTTGAAATCATGAAGGGAAACAAGCTTTGGCTTCCTAAACCGCTCTAAACGGGCTCATTACATTCCATAACGATGACATATTTGGAGATTGCACACACACAACTTTTAAATAACCATACAATACACGGTGGCAAAGTTTGCCTCTAGTGCCAAAGCAAAATCACCTGAGCAATACGATAACATTTACAACACAACCTGCTAGCGACATGACAAGTTTAATATCGGTACAATTCATCAATATTAGTTGTCAAACACTTTCGTCTCTGGCACTAATGGGGCTCCAGTGCTAATGTTCCATGGGCCAAGACCAGATATTTCACTTGCCAGTACCACCTAAGGTGTAGGTTATCATACAATTATAATTTTTTGGCTGAATGCATAAATGGCTCCTGCTAAATCAAATTACATGTACATTTGGTATTCGTACCATTTTAAAAGTGCAAGGCTCTCACGAAGGTAAGTTGTACTTCACAGACCTAGTCTGAAGCAGTTCCCGCTTTTGGGGGCAATGTCGCTAACGTGTTTTCCCATCGAGTGATTTTTAAGGTAATTCTACAATTCTTTTTAAACAAATTTAGCCACCTTCGGCGGTAGCGATTTCTGCTTTGGCCCATGGACAGCGAGCGCGCGCCCCCCCCCCACCGACCCACCACCCTAGCTGCTGTTGCGCAGCATCTCGCTGCTCTGGCGGTTGTACTCGAGCCAGCTGAGGACCTCTGGCGGCGGGTCGGGCCCCTGGACGGCGCGGCGGCACAGCAGGCGCAGGATGTGCTCGGGGCTGGTGCCCGTCACGTTGAGCCGCACCAGGGCGATGGCCGCCACGAAGCCATCGCTCTGCATGATGACTCGCTGCTCCACGTAGAACGCCTTCTCGTCCCAGCACAGGATCTGCACGGAGCCGAGGGTGATGGGGGAGGAGACAAAGAGCGGGCGACGTTGACGCGCCGGGCCGTATTCATTTAGTGAGTTCTTCTGAAGAATGTTAGTTTAGTCGGTGACAACCTGTCAGTGTTAAAAATTAATGTGAGGGGCATGCAGTACCCCCTACCGAATATCAGGTCAGCCCATCAAAAACTCAGTAGATATGCTTTTATACGTACAAATCTAATTAAGACGTGCTTGGCATGAGTCCACTGCAGTTTCTAATAATGTCAGTACAGCCTCGGTGTGCACCTTTTTTCAGACTAGTTAATTTTACCGTGTCATAGTCATCGTCATGCCTCATGGGATTCGTCCACTCATAGCCACAGTGGACTAAAATCAAATACTTTGCAGACAAATATTTAATTCACTAACATTACGAACAAAATAAAATCTGATAGCCAGATAGAGTTGCTTATTGATCATAGGAATCGAGTCATTGAATCCAAAAGTCAATGAATCGAGTCATTGAATCCAGCACCCTTTTCATCACAGTGGCACCGATTACCACCCCCAAAACGATCCAATGTCATTGCTCAACGACAGCCATCATAGGACATCAGTGGCAGGGCTCATTAATCACCACACGGCGTGTTTGAACAGACACCGAGACACAAACATGGCCGGACTTTTAGACATCGATGTATGCAGCAAACGGATGATCATCAAGTGTATTCATTTTATTTTGCATATGAAATTATCGATAAAGGAAAAATGCCAAGCAAAGGTGGAGAGAGTGGGTGTCGCCTAGGTCAGGAGGTCAACACGGACAGTACCACCGATGTCACCGCACCTCGTTATATCCTTTATTCACCCAGGAAAGCATCGCTGGTCTTTCAGTGGGGTCCTGCTTGGGTAGCATATGGCCATCTTCCGGAGTATTTTTTCACAATGAGGAGGGGATAAAAAAAAAACCTTGAGTACGAACTCGCAGCCCTGTTGGTGGAAGTCACGTGCGACTCTCTTTTCAGTGACAATATCTCGTTAATAATTATGCCACGCTGTCCAACCGTCTTGGCGCGGATTCGGCCTAACGACCGCGAGGGGTACGTTATGCTGATTCAACCCAATATGATGCAGCTGGCGGTGGTACGGATACGCGTTATGGGTCCGTGCGATTGTGAATGGCATTCACTTGTTATTCACGAACTTGCTATCCGCGATTTTGGCTATATGCGAACCGCATCTGGAACTCTACACGAGTGCATCGAGAGAGAGAAAGAATATGATGAGATAAAGTGATAAGAGATAAAGTGATAAGAGATAAAGTAATTAGATCACTCAGTCAGCCCTTGCTTGTCTATGGACTATCCAGATCACGCCCAAGTCTATCCAGATGTGTCTATGTAGGAGCAGTAACAACATTACAATGATCATCATCATTGTCAGCATCATCGTTACTGCATCCTACTGCGCTGCATCATCATAGTTGAAGGTAGGTTAATTTATAAACTATATTTATTTGCATTTACTTTTTCATTAAAACCATTTTTGTATTTGTGTTATGATAATTTTCACATTTAATAACTTATGTATTTAAAGGTTCTCCTAGACCAATATCACTATCCGCTAAATGTGCTATTCACGAGCGTCTCACGAACGTATCCCTGGGAAATAACGAGGGGAATGCCGTACATACGTCCCTGCGCCGCTTCGGCGGAAACGGCGTAGCAAGCCGTGGTGGAGGTGCTAGTGGTGGTGGTGGTGTGACCCTCCTCACCCGCGACCGGATGACGAATCTCTGCAGGAAGCGCAGCGAGCGGCGGTAGCGGATGGTGGAGGCCCCAAGCACCATGCCACCCCGCAGCTCTCGCATGGCCTTGATGATCCCATGGGTAATGCACAGCGCCGTCCTGTGCATCCGTTCAACAAGAGACGCTCAGAGGTTATCATTATTATTATTATTGCTTGTTAGGTCAGGAAAGCCTCACTGCGCACGATTGAACTTTATTTTTTGCGCGCGGCTGCACTTTATTTTGCTCGGTCGATTGTTAGACGCTGAGGTCGTGACGAGTTTTTTTATTATTATCATTCTTGATGTTCTATGCCCCCTGTACTGTTCCCATTCTGTTGCAGTGTGTAATGATGCTTACTTTATTGAGGGCGATATTGACATGTAAATTAAATACTGATTGATTGAATAGTATGACTTTTTTTAGGATGGTCCTGCCAAGTTTTCACAGTAGGGTGGGGGGGGGGGTGCGTGAATGCTACGTAGATTCCAATTGAGTAATTTAGGGGTCGTTTTTCAAACTTATTGGCAACTTTGGACTACAACGCCGGCCCGCGGCGGCCTACTCTTGCGAATGATGTCACGGGATCTTTGACACCACTTTACCCGTGAAGCAGACGGCACGTATTATTACTGTTATGCGTCCTCTAATAACCAGGGCGGCCACTGGATTTGAACCAGGGCGGCCACTGGATTTGAACCAGGAACGTCTGAAACAAGCGGCGAACGTGCTACTGCTCGGCCGTGTCGCCGCCCGTGATGATCCATTGAGGGGTAGGAGAGGTCAACCGGCGCTGTTTCTGTTTCTTGCTGCCATCAGAAGCTGGCCTCAATGGGGCTCATGAGGGAGAGGACCTTATTGGGGCCAACAGGGCCCACTCCATGAGCTTGCTTGCTGTGTAAACGACGGATATATATTCACCACCTTCCTGTTCATTCGTTCATTCGACAACACAAGACGATCTGAAGTTAGTCAAGAAGCGATCTACGTGTACCGAAATGTAATATGCAGGTGCATTTCGGGACCTCCATCTGAACAGACTTCCATTGGCTGAAGCTTGGGTCTGATGCAGCATTTCCTCCCAGACTCCAGTTCTTGCACCCCAGCGCAGTACCAATCTTTTCTCCCGACCACACTTACCAATCTTTCACCATTCAAATACACATTCGGCCCCTTACTGCATGAGCTTGTTTGATTCGTAAACACATCCCATGTAATGTAGACAGCACCAAATCAAATGATGAGATCTTGTCTCCGTGCGGGAAAGTGTGTACCAATCATCAGGCGGGTGAAGCATGTAACATCTTGAATGGTACTTGACTGGAGAAAATAGGCAAACGTTAAACAGCTGACGGTGTTATGTGGGGCTGTCAATGTTGTGGGAGTTGGATATTAAATTAATATGTATCTTTATAAATCTACACACGTCTTATTCTGCTAAGACATCAGCACGTAAGGCTGCATGAGGTATTCATAATAAGCCGAACATGTTGAGCTTTTGCTCCTACATTGTCTGCCAATTACACATCAGGGTTGGTTGCCAGCCAAAATAGAACCTTGTTAACAGCACTTTCCGAAACATATATATAACTGGGCTTAAAGGATCGGCATTTTTATTTAAGTTGTAATTCTACTATGGGAGTTGATGCTTATAGGTTGACTATTTACAGTCAATGACGAATGTTTTAAATAATTTGATGAAACCACCAAGAGGCACTTGTGTGACTCGCTTGCCCAGCAGCTTGTCTGCACGGCACGTCTCGTCAACGCCGCTGTGGCCTACGGACGGCCGCTCGGACACGGTGCGGTGACAACAGTGTGTGTGCCGCGTCAAGCCGCTTCAAATGGTTTTTGTACTTGAACCTAAACATCAAAAAACAGGCCACCACAGGCAGTGTCATCAGCAAGGTGACCTTTGGACTGTCCCCGAATGAGACGCAGTCTGGTTCATGACAAACAAACAAAAATCAGCCGGGCTAATTCACTGCTTGAAAATAAGGAAGGTGCTGTTCACATTTGGCCGTGTGCCTTGGCGTTACAAGACGGGTCGCCCATAGCGGGGTGTGGGGCCCGGGGACGTCTTGCCAACGTGCACGTTGACACTGCAAGTGGTAGGAGGCAGGGCGGGGGGCCAGGGCCAAGCGTTAAGAGTGAACTCGACGTTCTGTCTGGGCACGGCACTGTCCTGTGCGTCTCTGGAGAGCGCCGTGCCGTGCTGCAGCTGTCTGTATAAACGAGGGCAGGTGCCGGTGAAAGGTTGTCTGGACAATGATGTTTACCGCAGGCCTCCATTTTCCAATTATTCCACAATCGCAAGGCGCAGTCCCTTGAATGAAAAATCATTGCACGGCAATTTATTTTTCTTTTCAATCGGTAAAAAAAACTGGTGGAAATAAATAAAACATTGGTGCGCTGTGCATAATTAAATGCGTATGCAGACTCGCCCTGCATCAATGTTTGTTTCGATCTCTGAAAATGCACCACTGGCCCAGGCTTGATTGTCCCAGAACAACATTATTCCGCGCAATTGGGGTTATCGCCACTGATAACGCTGTCGTGGCTGTCGTCACCTTGAATCATCTCAGATTTTTTTCTTTTGAAAGCCACACATACGTACGTGTGGCTTTTATATTAACTTGCGCGAATGATACCACGGTGTTGTCAAATTGTAACACAGACACACACACTTACAGACGGAGGTTATTACATTTCTTGCGGATGACGATGCCTCTTCTGCAGTGCTGGAATGTGAGCGAACGTCACCCATTTGTCTTACCCGAGGACACGGGGCAGTGTGCAGCAAGGGCAATCACAAACGACAGCAAGCGGCCAAAGGTCAGTGTTGCCACTTATACCTGTTCTTTTTAACCTATCCTGCCACTGGGTCTTGCCGCTTACATTTCCACGAATACAACTAAATTCCGTATTGCAGGATTGCAGCATGCACCGCTCAACGGAAGTGTAATGATGCTCTGACTCAGCGATTCATATTGATCCTTCAGCTCACTATACGCACACCGAATCGCGTGTGTAAAAATCGTCGTGTGGGTTACGCGATCAAACTTCACCACGGTGGTCAGTGCATGTTGTTAAAGGTGGGCAGTATGGGCGCAGGGGCATAGAAGCACAGTACAACATTGCATAATTCTCCAGAGTCCTCTGCTGCCTACATATGTAGCCTCGCAGCATTTAGCTTCCCAGGTCTGGCGAGATCGGGTGCATTCACGTTGATTTGTTCAGCCGGCTTCTTTCACAATACGCATACTGAACCATATTCACACAATTTGGTTACAACCCCAGCACAGTACTCGGGATGTACAGCAGTGGTAGGCCCACTCTGCCGTGAACCCGGTGACCCGACCTCGATTCCTGGACCGCGGCGAACATTTGTGGCAGGCGAAATCTGAACCAAACCTGGGCCCCGCTTTTCACCAACATGGCACTGACCAGCGTGGTGAAGTATGGTAAAATAACCCCCGTGGGGAAGCCTGCATCCAGCAGTGGCTTCACAAAAGAGCCTGTAACTTATAGATGTATGTAATCGGTGATCAGATTGCAGCTGCAGGCCAGCCAATAGTGGCTACTGGATGTAAACAACAACACAATCATTGTTTCCTGAATCGAACCACGGCCGTGAATGGTGACAACTCATGGAATCACGATTGGAGGGGGGGGGGGGTATCGTTACACCTCTGGTGATCAATCACACCTGGATGCAACTTGAGCCCTCGTTAAAAGTTTGTGCACCTGACGGTACGGCTGCTGCATAAGCGGAGATGGAGAGATATTTTGTTCCCGGGGTTTTACGAGCTCAGGACTGACAACTCTTCCCTGTGGCCAAAGCCGGGGAGAGAATTGCAATCCGGACTTCAAAGCAAAGAGCGCGGCGGCTCAGCGCGCCCACACTGCGATAGACGGGGGCGGCCGAGCGCAAGCGTCCGTTGTCTTCCGAGTTAATGTGGACGCCGCCATACCTGGCAAAGTCGCACTCCCGTAGGTAGCGCGCGTTGTTCATGTGTCCCATGTGGTCGATGTCGCTCAGCAGCACGATGCCTGCGAAGGCGACACGGGGCGGACGTAATGAGCGTACGTTTTCAGGGAGGGCGGGGGGGAGCAGTAATACCCGGGGGGGGGAGGGGGGGGGGACCTGGGGGTCACGGTCACATTTTAATTGTGTTCTGATACCGCTCCGCTTTGAGCGGCGGTGCACAGCTTAGACACCTGGGGCCAGCACGAAATGCAAGCCGTACAGTTACGCTAAGGGCCCGAATTTCCCACTCGATATTTTCCGGAACGCCGCTGGGCCGGCTTGGAGTGCGAGCTATCGGCATGAGGCACTACCGCCGGATAACAAACCATTCATAACAATTTGATATTATTGTAACGTAAGAGTATATCTAATGTGCGGGCAAATTATATTAAAATTATGAAATAAGCATTTTCCAGTTCAATCTTGATTAGAAGCTTTCGTGACTGCAGGAATCCATACTCTTTGGTTATTTCGGTAAAGTCACGTGGGTAGAAAATTAATAGATCACGACGTTTCGATCGCGAAACAAGAAATCGTCATCAGGTGAAACAAACACACGGCAAACAATTTAAGTCCCATAGCCCCTATTTAAATGAACGTCAATTACGGGAGATGCTTGCTTCAGGTATTTTATGCAACTGGCCACTGATTTGAACGTGGGATCTCAGCAATGCCAGCTCACTACTCTGACACGGTATTAGCCTTCTGAACCACCCCGGGGCCACTTCCTGATGGCAATTTCTGCATTCACCTGAACACATGCTTATTAAAAATGTTGCATTATTATTCAAATGAATATGTATCGTCCACTCATGAAGCTATAGGAACGTATTACCTACTCGGGATGACATTATTACACACACGACTTATTTAGAACGACCGATAATACCCTTTCGGAGGGATCCGTGGCAACAGTTGTTCGCACACTATAATTAACCTGCACACCTGAGCTTCCCTCTAGGCCGTAGCTACTAACATCATTGGCGAATGATTTTTGAACCAGTCCTGGGACTTTCACCAACAACCGATGTGGTGAAGTATGGTCAAACAACCCACATAACTGATACGGCATGGGGAGGTCCTCATCAAGCATTGGAATTGCAAATAGTGTATTTATTTATTCCAAGGGAGACCAAAGAAAAACTCAAAGTAGTGCAATGCGACAGGAGCACCAAACTCAAAACTCGGCTGTTTGCATGTGAAACTTAGATTTAGCCTGGGCAAAGATATTCAACCCATATTTAAAAAAAAACAGTTCAAATGACACCGTCCAAGTAATAAAGAATATAAAAGCCAATGTTAACACCGCGTATGAGGAAAATGTTATCATTGACTACTTCTGTTTATGGCCCATTATTCGGGCTCATTAAAAAAAAAAGTCGTTGGCCACATCCTGTCTCCTGAAGGCAGGAAACCCCTGGAAGACATCGCGGCTGATGATGTGTATGACGTCATCAAGCCCCGACCACCACCTCCCGTCCAGTGGCACACGTGGGACCAGAGTTGGGACTTTTCCCCCTCCCCCACCCTATCCAACTATATCCGTCTTGTCTAATTAGTTGAATCATTGAAATAATTACTGGTCCCATCATCGCTGACCTCCAATTATAATCAGCAGAGTAATCAAATTACCCACGTAATTGGATATCCGAGCTGGGCAATGTCAGGTTTACACTCTATGACTCTAAAACACAATTGTTACGAATGTCACATTCTGAATGTGCCACTGATGAATCCGCGAGTTGTATGGAGAGCTCAGACTTGACCTTCACACGAAACCCTTGGAATTTTCAGCAAGCATGCATTTGGTAGCTCTTGCTGTGCGGCGTAAGGATGCAACTGCAGTCTCCGATACTCGCCGTGTACACGACCACCCTCTTGTATAATAAACAACATGTCCTGTCATATCGCAGTGATAAAGCTTAATTTTTACCTGGTTTCGCACGCATTTCAACACCTATCTTAGCTAAAATACCCAAACCTTCGTGTAAAACTAGGTTTCAATGATTGCTCAAACCACTGTTAAATTATAACCCACCTAAAGAAGATACGGGGGTTTATGTATACTGTGTGCATGTATATATATTATTTTGATATATTTGCAGTAAGTCGAGCTTTTTTAAATACAGTTGTTGAGCATAGGCCCGAAGGCCCCAAACACACCTAGCGGCCAGCAACAAACAGGACCGCCAACTTTGTCGTGCGTGAAAAAAAGGGTTGTTTTGTAAGAGCTTTGGGAAGGAGACGATGATGGGAGGAGGCGGGGAGGGGATTCCAAAGCGGAGCAGTCGTACGGGGGAAGAAGCGTTAAGCGAGACGCGTCGCAACCTTATGCTATGTTGGTGGTTTGAGCACAGCATGGAAGACACGAAACAGGCCGGTAAGAGCGCGTCGAGTCCTCGCCACCCTGCAAACCTCCGTGGCTATTATAACAGGACGTGTGCATGGGGAGGACAAGCGAATAAAAATATTCGATGTATACGTGAGTCTGGGGTGGTGGCTGTGGTGGTGGGGGGGGGGGTGCGCGCAGATGGCAGTAGCGTGTTTGAGTTTACCGTGGTACCCGTGTTCCTTGAGTACATCCTTCTCCTGCCTGCGCATTAGTGCTGCGCCCACCGTCAGCAGCATTCTCACGAAATACCACGCGTCTGCGCTGACGAAGAGCGCCAGCAGCACCACCAGCACCAGCAGCACCATGGACAGCAGCAGCATCGCGAGCGGCGGCGGTGGCACTGCGCACAAGGGCGTGGGCCGGAACGGAGGTCGGCGTGTGTGTGTTGCGCGTGTGTGTGTGTCGGAAGGGCTGTGTATGTGTGTGTGCAGTGCTGTGGAGAGCGAGTGTGTGTGTGTGTGCGCGTGTGCAGTGCTGTGGAGAGCGAGTGTAAGTGTGTGTGTTTGCGCCTGTGCAGTGCTGTGGAGAGCGAGTGTAAGTGTGTGTGTGTACGCCTGTGCAGTGCTGTGGAGAGCGAGTGTAAGTGTGTGTCGGAAGGGCTGTGTGTGTGCGCGTGTGCAGTGCTGTGGAGAGAGAGTGTGTGCGTGCGTGTCAGAGTGGCTGTGTGTGTCGCAGCGAGTGTGTGTGTCAGAGTTGATGTACGTATGTGCGCGTGTCAGAGTGGCTGTGTGTGTGTCAGAGTGGCTGTGTGTGTTAGAGGGAGTGTGCGTGTGCACGTGGTCTGGCGAATGGCGGCGGCTGTTATTGCGTAAGAGGCGCTGTGCGCAGTGGAGAGACTGCGTGTGTACAGTGCACAGGCGGCGATTGCGCGTGTGTGTGTGCAGTGAGAGTGGCTGTGTGTGTGTGCAAGGGGAGTGTGCGTGAGTGGGCTGAGAGTGTGTGTGAGAGTGACTGTGTGTGAGTGGGCTGAGAGGGTGTGTGAGAGTGACTGTGAGTGAGTGGGCTGAGGGTGTGTAACAGTGACTGTGTGTAAGTGAGTGGGCTGAGAGGGTGTGTGACAGTGACTGTGTGTGTGAGTGGGCTGAGAGGGTGTGTGAGAGTGACTGTGAGTGAGTGGGCTGAGGGTGTGTGACAGTGACTGTGTGTGAGTGAGTAGACTGAGAGGGTGTGTGAGAGTGACTTTGAGTGAGTGGGCTGAGAGGGTGTGTGAGAGTGGCTGTGTGTGAGTGGGCTGAGAGGGTGTGTGAGAGTGACTGTGTGTGTGTGGGCTGAGAGGGTGTGTGAGAGTGACTGAGTGAGTGGGCTGAGAGTGTGTGTGAGAGTGACTGTGTGTGAGTGGGCTGAGAGGGTGTGTGAGAGTGACTGTGAGTGAGTGGGCTGAGGGTGTGTAACAGTGACTGTGTGTAAGTGAGTGGGCTGAGAGGGTGTGTGACAGTGACTGTGTGTGTGTGAGTGGGCTGAGAGGGTGTGTGAGAGTGACTGTGAGTGAGTGGGCTGAGGGTGTGTGACAGTGACTGTGTGTGAGTGAGTAGACTGAGAGGGTGCGTGAGAGTGACTTTGAGTGAGTGGGCTGAGAGGGTGTGTGAGAGTGGCTGTGTGTGAGTGGGCTGAGAGGGTGTGTGAGAGTGACTGTGTGTGTGTGGGCTGAGAGGGTGTGTGAGATTGACTGTGTGTGTGTGTGGGCTGAGAGGGTGTGTGAGAGTGACTGTGTGTGTGTGGGCTGAGAGGGTGTGTGAGAGTGACTGAGTGAGTGGGCTGAGAGGGTGTGTGAGAGTGACTGTGTGTGAGTGGGCTGAGAGGGTGTGTGAGAGTGACTGTGTGTGAGTGAGTGGGCTGAGAGTGTGTGTGAGAGTGACTGTGTGTGTGTGTGGGCTGAGAGGGTGTGTGAGAGTGACTGTGTGTGTGTGTGGGCTGAGAGGGTGTGTGAGAGTGACTGTGAGTGAGTGGGCTGAGTGTGTGTGTGAGAGTGACTGTGTGTGTGTGTGGGCTGAGAGGGTGTGTGAGATTGACTGTGTGTGTGTGTGGGCTGAGAGGGTGTGTGAGAGTGACTGTGTGTGTGTGGGCTGAGAGGGTGTGTGAGAGTGACTGAGTGAGTGGGCTGAGAGGGTGTGTGAGAGTGACTGTGTGTGTGAGTGGGCTGAGAGGGTGTGTGAGAGTGACTGTGTGTGTGTGTGTGGGCTGAGAGGGTGTGTGAGAGTGACTGTGTGAGTGGGCTGAGAGGGTGTGTGAGAGTGACTGTGTGTGTGTGGGCTGAGAGGGTGTGTGAGATTGACTGTGTGTGTGTGTGTGGGCTGAGAGGGTGTGTGAGAGTGACTGTGTGTGTGTGAGTGTGGGCTGAGAGGGTGTGTGAGAGTGACTGTGTGTGAGTGGGCTGAGAGTGTGTGTGAGAGTGACTGTGTGTGAGTGAGTGGTCTGAGAGTGTGTGTGAGAGTGACTGTGTGTGTGTGAGTGGGCTGAGAGGGTGTGTGAGAGTGACTGTGAGTGGGCTGAGAGGGTGTATGAGAGTGACTGTATGTGAGTGGGCTGAGAGTGTGTGTGAGAGTGACTGTGTGTGTGTGTGGGCTGAGAGGGTGTGTGAGAGTGACTGTGAGTGAGTGGGCTGAGAGGGTGTGTGAGAGTGACTGTGTGTGAGTGGGCTGAGAGGGTGTGTGAGTGTGACTGTGTGTGTGTGGGCTGAGAGGGTGTGTGAGAGTGACTGTGAATGAGTGGGCTGAGGGTGTGTGACAGTGACTGTGTGTGAGTGAGTAGACTGAGAGGGTGTGTGAGAGTGACTGTGTGTGTGAGTGGGCTGAGAGGGTGTGTGAGAGTGACTGTGTGTGAGTGAGTGGGCTGAGAGGGTGTGTGAGATTGACTGTGTGTGTGTGGGCTGAGAGGGTGTGTGAGATTGACTGTGTGTGTGTGTGGGCTGAGAGGGTGTGTGAGAGTGACTGTGTGTGAGTGAGTGGGCTGAGAGTGTGTGTGAGAGTGACTGTGAGTGTGTGGGCTGAGAGGGTGTGTGAGATTGACTGTGTGTGTGTGTGTGGGCTGAGAGGGTGTGTGAGAGTGACTGTGAGTGTGTGGGCTGAGAGGGTGTGTGAGATTGACTGTGTGTGTGAGTGGGCTGAGAGGGTGTGTGAGATTGACTGTGTGTGTGTGTGGGCTGAGAGGGTGTGTGAGATTGACTGTGTGTGTGAGTGGGCTGAGAGGATGTGTGAGAGTGACTGTGTGTGAGGCGTGCGTGCGAGTGATGCGGAACCGAGACAAGCGCGAGTGTGTTGCGGGAGACGGGTGTGTGTGTGTCTGTGTGTGTCACAGTGTGTGTGTGCAAGTGGGGAGCGATAGTGTAGCGGTTAGCGCGCTGCGCTATGAACCTGGCGACCCGAGTTCGATTCCCGCTCACGGACAACACCAGTGACGATTGTCTGAACCGGTTCTGGGCCTCGCCTAGGTTGGCCTCAAATGAGTACCTGGTGTGCTGTGTAAACATCGCCACTAGGGAGACAAAGGCGGCTGGGCGTGGTTGTTGGCCACCCACCCCCTCGTGTGCCGTGCCGGCCTTTATAGGTGCTGCTCGCTAACAGCACTTGCCCCTACAATCTGTTGCAGGCTACACGGGAGGGGGGGGGGGGTCTTTGTCTTTTTGTTTTGTGTGTAATCGCAAGAGGCCGGCGAGCGTGGCGGCGGCGGCGGCGGCGGCGGCCCAAGAGCGCCGACGTCGCCTTGACGTCGCCCGTCGCCGTCTGGCGAATCGCGGGCGGCGATGTTGGCTGTGGGGTCAGGTGGGGGGAGGAGGGCGGTGGGGAGAACAGCGAGAGAGCACGCGCCACGCAGCACCAGCACGCACAACCAGCACGCACACCAGCACGTGCCACGCGCACCAGCACGAGCACGTGCCACGCGCACCAGCACCAGCACGTGCCACGCGCACGAGCACGTGCCACGCGCACCAGCACGAGCACGTGCCACGCGCACCAGCACGAGCACGTGCCACGCGCACCAGCACGAGCACGTGCCACGCGCACCAGCACGAGCACGTGCCACGCGCACCAGCACGAGCACGTGCCACGCGCACCAGCACGAGCACGTGCCACGCGCACCAGCACGAGCACGTGCCACGCGCACCAGCACGAGCACGTGCCACGCGCACCAGCACGAGCACGTGCCACGCGCACCAGCACGAGCACGTGCCACGCGCACCAGCACGAGCACGTGCCACGCGCACCAGCACGAGCACGTGCCACGCGCACCAGCACGAGCACGTGCCACGCGCACCAGCACGAGCACGTGCCACGCGCACCAGCACGAGCACGTGCCACGCGCACCAGCACGAGCGCTCTCGCTGTCGTGAAGGTCGACTCGGGACTCGGCCTCGAATGAGTTTGTTGCACCTGCAGGGCCGGATTAAGATTTTGTAGCCCCCTGGGCTATAGGTACTGTGAGCCACCCTCCAGTAATATTTTTTTAAACGGGAAAACAAAGTTAAAGAAAAATAAATTGTATTTTTACAAGGCTAACAACAAATAAAATTCAGCATTCACAAATTAAATAACTTTTCACTTCATCTCTGGAGGCCCTCTTGCTGGCGGGGGACCCTGGCCTGCAGCCCCTAAAGCCCCGTGCCTTGATCCGGCCCGGTACACCTGCTGCGCTGCGTAACAACAACAACACAAAACACATCGCCTTTAGAGAGACAAAGGCGGGTGGGCGTGGTGCTGGCCACCCACCCCCTCGTTGTGCCGTGCCGGCCTGCATAGCTACTGACTTACTCTCGCTCGTGGCACTTGCCCCAACAGTCTTGCTACAGGCTATGCGGGGGCATCTTTGTCTGCGTTGGGAGGGCAATGCCCAAAGCAGGTGGCCGGGTGCTGCTACCCGAGCCCGCTAGACATCGACTCGCGAGCTGTTGGGTGTTGGCCTAATTTGACATGCGATGAACATCCCATCGTCATGGGTCGCGTGTCATTTTACTTACACGCTTTCTTTGAACTCACTCTGTTGTCATCGTAGTTGTATCCTCAAATCTTGTAACTCAATTTTTAACTCACTTCCCAATGTGGTATCGACTGCAAACTTGGTATACTTATGTCATACTGAAGACAATACTATATTCTATCATTAAAAATATATATAAAAACATCTATATTTTAAAACATTATTTTTTATATGTTATGTTTCGGCTTGGGTCTAATTGTACACGCTCAACTGACGTTGGCTGTAATTGACTAAGGTCCCGTACGTTATGGCAAGTTTCGGGCCCACTTCCTGGAGTCGTGGAGTTCTGACATTACTAGTACGGTACATTTCATAAAAGCGTGATTTAAAAAAATAAAAATTGTTAAATATTACTTATTCGTTGTGTGTTCGCTCGCCATAAGGATCGTGTATATCAGCTGGGTCAGATGCCCCGTTGAGCTGAGCGGGCTCTTGTATTTTTTACAAGGGCGTCCACAGCCCAAAGGTTGTGGAGAGTGGCGGCGGTTAGACACCAGTCGAGG